GTGAGGCTTGGCGTTGATGGGAAGCGCCCGTCGGGGTTTCTGGCCAAGTAGGAGTCAAAGTCCGATTCGTTGTGTACGGTCACAGTCTGGGGCCGTGATTGCAAAGGGGAAAGAGAGGCACGCGACGATGAGGAGTTGAGGGCATAGTTGAAGGGTTTGTGGAAGGAAAGTAGCAGAGGCGGGGGGGGGGGGGGGGGGGATGGTTAAAGATACGGCACGGGAGATGGGATTGGGCACGAGTTGCGCACACACGCACATTAGCAAGTAACTGACTCTCATTCTCACTATCCTTGGCACGTCGTTCCTCACCTCTTTCTGCTCTATCTACAACCCCGGACTGTGGCTAAATCTGTTAAGACGCTTGCCTCAGATAGCGGCCAACCTCTTAGCAGGCGCGTAGCAGGCCACGCCCCCCATCTCTTACATGGGGAGGGGGGTGGTCCATGTTTCTGGACGATACCCTGATGAAGGTCCATGGGGATGGGGATAGGGATAGGACGGCAGTGGTTGGTGGTTTTGGGGGCAACGAACTAGGAAGAAGGAGAGAGGGCACGCGACTCCGAGCCAGAAGTGCCAGAGAAAGGAACCCATAAACAATGGACGAAAAGAAAGTGAGGAACACAAGCACAGCCTGGCCGGTAGCAGCCCTGGAGAACCGCAAAGATGACGGGCAACAGAAAACAGTCCAATCAGAGGTTCGGACGCAGGCTCCTGGGCGAAGAAAAGGGCAGGAGAGGCATCTTCGAGAGTCGAGGAGGTTAACCAATCAGAGCGTCGGAATCGAGCACATGGGGTTCCTGAATGGTATCTGGGCGCCCGCAGACGGTTTGCTTCCTACTCAAGAGAAACGTCAATCAACACGGCCACACAGGCCACATGGATCATTGGCAGACCCCTTGCCCGCGCGCACGCCTTCGTTGTGTGGACTTTTCAAGGTCCCAGTCCGGGGCTGGCCTCTAGTCTGATGCAGCGACCTGGGGTCCAGAGCCAGAGGCACGAGACATGTGCTCGAGATGCGGTTGGACGACGGCTTCGATCGTCGACGACCGTTGCTTGCTGAACCGTGTTCCATCTGTGGCTGGTAACAGTCGTGTGCGCATCTGCGTGCCTTCTTTTCCGGTCGTGTGTGGTGACAGAGCGACCGGACACGAGTGGTTTCCAACCCTTCATGGCGATTGAGCTGAATCGCATGCAGATGGCGATGGATGACGACCCCCCTCCCTTTGCGAGCTCAGGGCCCGCTTGCAAAATGAGCACGTGGGCGGTTTGCTGCTGTAAATCTCCCCAACGTATCGTTATCTCGTGCGTGCGACGCACTTCATTCTTGGCCCTGCTGAATCTGTGGACTCGTGGAGGCCGTTGATCTTGTTCGTCTCAAATGCTTGGACTTGAGGTCGTCTAAACCGAGGTCGGTTGAGCTTGTACTCAAGAGGCCGCCTGGCAAGCATCGATTATGAGCGAATTGATCGCGGTGACTTCGCTGCAGAGGCATATGGAAACGGGCTAGCTGAGCTGTCATGATCGGATTTCCTCTTTCTGAGTTCCCGTGCAGCAGCAGCGCGCGTCTCCTCTCTCCGTCTCCTCAAAAATAGAGTTTGGTCCCGATTTTCTCTCCAAGTGGAAGCTCTGTTGCGGCGTGCCTCCCCGTGCCTCCTCCCAAGCCAGAACGTGGGCAACCTGTCTGTTCCCGATTTAGCCTAGCGCCCGAGCCCTGGAAATGGGGGCAGCCATGGGCGGGGCCTTTGCAGGGGGCCGGTTCGCGGGTGCCGTGGTGGCTCACGCACGGCACGAAGCTTGTTGATGCCGACTCTCCTCCACTCACTCGGCCGCCACCTCCAACAGGCGCACGTGACGGTTCACTGTTCACTGATACCGACTTGGGTATGAGAATCGCCAAGTCTTGGCAGAAAATCACTCAGGTATGGCCGCTTCGCGAGTTGTCTCAACGGCCCGGACACCAAACTCGTCCATGCATCCAAAGAGATCCATATTCCTAACTAGACCCAAACAAAAAGGTGCCTCATTAACATCGTAGCAATGTCCCCAAGTCCCTCACACCTTGGTGATGAGGGTTTTCCAAAAATTCCATGTCGTCAAACAAAACCGATACAAGTTACAGCATTCCACAGCGTCGTCGTCGAGCCCCCTTACACCTCGTTGCTGGGGTAAATGACCTTCGTCGTCGCCGCAAACTCCTCCTTAATACTCCTCAAGCTGACGAAACGGCTGAGCAGGTTCGAGCTCCCCGCCTTGTCGTTGGTGCCACTGGCTCTGCCACCGCCGAACGGCTGCTGACCAACGACCGCGCCGGTGCTCTTGCAGTTGATGTAGAAGTTACCCGCAGAGTTGCGCAACTTGTCTTCGGCAAACCTGATGACCGATCGGTCCGAGGCAAAGATGGATCCTGTCAAGCCGTACTCCCCAGTTGAGTCAACGAGATCGCAGGCCTCCAAAAAGGCATTTTTGTTTGTGACGTCGTCATACACGTGCACTGTGAGCACAGGGCCGAAGAGCTCGGTGCTCAAAAGCTTGTGGTTCTTGTTGGTTGTCTCGTAAATGGTAGGATGGATGAAGAAGCCCTTCGACTTATCATACTTGCCTCCCGCTACAAGGCTTAGCTCCTTGTCGTTCTTGGCTTGGTCAATCACGCCAGACAGCTTGTTGAACGACGCCTCGTGGATGACAGGTCCCATGAAGTTTCCGTGTTCAGCGGGGTTGCCAATGGTAATTTTGTTGACCTCGTTCACGAGACCCTCCTTGAACTTGGGCCAAACCGACTTGGGTACGTAAGCCCGCGACGTCGCACTGCACTTCTGACCCTGGAACTCGAAAGCACCACGGACCGTCTGCTTAACAGCGTTGTCGATATCGGCGGATGCGTGGATAAGGTGGAAGTTTTTGCCGCCCGTCTCGCCGACGATTCTTGGGTAAGATTGGTAGCGGCCTTCAGCCACACCAGACCCGATTTCACCGTACAGCTTGCGGAAGACGGCAGTGCTACCAGTGTAGTGAAGAGCAGCGAACTTCTTGTGCTTCAGCGCGACCTTAGTGACCTCCTCAGGATTACCAGGCACGAATTGAATGACGTCGCGCGGCAAGCCAGCCTCCAACAAGATGTTATAGACCAGCCAGTTTGAGAGAATAGCCGAGTCGCTGGGCTTCCAGACAACGACGTTGCCGAGCAGAGCTGGGGCTCCAGGCAGGTTACCAGCAATTGCAGTGAAGTTGAATGGGCTCACAGCGTACACGAAGCCCTCAAGAGCCCTGTACTCAACCCTGTTCCAAACACCAGGAGAGTTGTGTGAGGGCTGCTGAGCGTACAGCTCCTCGGCATACTGGACGTTGAAGCGCAAGAAGTCTGCCAGCTCTGCAGCAGCGTCAATCTCGGCCTGCCACGCGTTCTTGCCTTGGCCCACCATTGTTGTAGCCATGATATCGTAGCGGTATTTGCCCGAGATCAGGTCGGCGGCCTTGAGAAAGACGGCAGCTCGGTCGGCGAACGGCAGGGATTCCCACGCTGGCTTGGCGTTGAGGGCAGACGCGATGGCTTGGGAAACATGTTCCGGTGTTGCCTGGTGATACTTTGCGACGGTAGTAGCGTGGTCGGCGGGGTTGAACTGTTCTCCGACAATGCCTGTCTTGATCTTGGGGGCTAGTCAGCACATCGTCACTCATTCGTAAACGGGCAATCAAGACCGACCTCTTTTCCTGCGACGACCACGGGAACCTCCAACGGCAATTTTGTGTTCAGTTGATCAATGGCAGCAGTCAAGCCTGCGCGTTCAGCTGAGCCCTTGGCATAGTGGTGCTGTGTGATTGTCAGTCAACTACCCCTCACCACCCAGCTTCTTCTAAGCTTCGTTATTGGGACCTGTAACCCACGTTTGGCTCGTTGTTCACTTTGGGAACTTTGAAGGCAGCGAACGTCGCCGCTCTAGTGGTCGTTCTCGTCGCAGAGATGGCCAGGCGCGTTGACTGTCCAATAAGGGATGCAGCGGAAGCTCTCCGTCCAATAGATGCAATGCGTGAAGCACTCCGCAGCTGGGAGTTCAACAGCCCAGAAGCTCGGGTGGAAGACATGGTGGACAGCTATGCAAAATAACGCCGTCTAAAAAGATCAAGTGGCCAAAAGCTGGGCCTCTTCGGACGCGCACGAATCAATTGATAAGTCTGGCAAAGACCGTCTGTCGGCGATTTGGAGAGAGCAGGAAGGAGGAGGGGGAGGTAGCTTCGAGGTGAGGGAAAGCGGAAACCAGTTGGTTATTAAGCTTCGGCACGTCGGAGGCGCAACGTAATGAAAAGTCGTGAGTCGTGAGACATGCACCGTCGTTCCTAGATGCCGGCAACCATCAGGGCGCAACACACGGGTTGATGCGGGTTAAGAATGCGTGGGCAACGAGAAAGCTCATGAGGGGCTGCGGGGCTTGCCTCAGTTCAGAGGGACCTGGAATGTCATCCCGAATGCAATGACGTGGGGTCTTGCTGCGATCCCCTGCCGATAACAGTGGGTTTAGATGCTTATCACGGTTTGCGGGGTAGTTGCCCGCCAATCAGATACTCCAATTGTGCTGCAATCTGAAGCTCCGGCCAAGATAAGAGGTTGACTAGGCGATAAGGGAAGGTCTTTTGGAGAGCTTCCGATCCCGACACTGTAAAAGTCGGAACGACCCTCCGACCCGACGTCGGGACAGGCCTGGGTTTTCGAGAAATTAGGTTCAAGGGATGATATGATTTTTTTAGGAAAAAATCACAGTAGGTATCTTATTTTCAGTCCTTACATTATTAATTTTTGGCGCAACAGAAAAATCCAAACAAGACAATGCACAAATGAAGCGAAGCCCGACCAAGTTCGGGCTGTGAAGATGCACCCGCATCTCTTATCTTTCGGCCGTCTGCCGCCGTTGCGAACATGGCCTCCTCCTCTTCAAGGGTATATCATTATGTAACCATCCATCTTCGGATAGAGCGTCCGATCATGCTAGCGACCACGCCCAGCGTGCTTATTCCCCGTCACCGTTTGGTCGCTCTTGTTCAGGGAATGGCATCACAGGCTCCGGCTTGAGGTTGTACTTGAGCAAGGGCACAGTCAGGCCGTAGCCTTCAGTGATGCCTTCGGGATCGTGCTGATTGACCTCGACCCGGATGCAGATATCCAGACTACCGTCGTTGCCAGTACCATGTTGCGCCATAGCCGCCTTGTGCTTGGAGCCGGACTCGATCTCACCGAGATGCAGGTAATCGTGCCCGCCCTTGCCCGAGATCGTCGACCTTGCATCTCCATTGATCGACGGTGCTGCGAGTCCGCGATTGGGCGAGTTCTCCGTCAAAATGGCAAAATTACGGCTAGGCATGGTCACATGGTTGGAGCTTGACGTCTTGGTCGAGTCGCCCGGATCCTTATCGAAGAACTTGAGAAGCGTCTCGTCTGTGTCGTGGTTCAAGTGGTGAATCTTGTTTCGTCTCGCCAGCAGGTTGGCGATCGCAGCTGGCGGTGGCTTGTTGGTGATGGCAGATGATACCACGTTGGCCATGTATCGGTGGTCGTTCTCGGTGGCTATATTCAGACGGGGGTGGGAGTAGAAGCGGCCAAGTGCGGCGAGATGCACGTCGCCGCCGAGAATGGTGATGCGAACCGAGAATTCCGATGCAATAGCCTGCAGTCTTTCGACCAAAGCTCCACGCTCCTTCTTGTGCGTTCTGGCCGTGTAGTGGTCATCGAGATCATCAAGCAAGTCGACGCTGCCATCGAAATGGTTGAAAACACCGCCAGCTATCTTGGTTAGCAAAGAAAAGCGGCCGGAAGTTCTGATTGCACATACCCAAACCGAATCTTCGGTTCAAGAACTTGACTGGGCCCATGATAGGGCTTCTGAAGACGTTCTCCAGCCACGTGAGGCGCTAGCACCGGTCAGCTCGTTCACCTACACGCTAAAGAAGTCAAGCCAGTTTCCTACCGGATACGCAATCGGGATTCCCAACAACAATATCAAATGCTTCAAAGGGCGTCCTGATTCAGCCGCAGTCCTCAACTCATGTCTGAGGCGGCTGAAGATCAAGTCATATGTCTCGGGGTAGTTGATTTGATGTCTCGTACGCTACACTCGGTCAGCCAAAACAACCTCCTTGTCGGTGTCTTAGACAGCCCTTACCTCAGTTCGAGCGTCAATACCCAGGAAGGCGATACGCGCTCCCAGTCGGGCAAACATGTTGTGCGAATGCTCCGCCACGTACGGCTGCAACACGTCAGTACTTGAGAGAATGACATCAACTCAAGATTGCTTACGCCAGGCTGTGTTCCAACAATGTAGCTCGGGTCAGACTTTGCGGGTGCTACATAGGTGTCCATGAGTTGGTTGGGGTCGAGTCCCTGCCCTTCGGTGGTGGTCGTGCGATCTGTGCTCCTGTAAGTCCAACGGTCACGTTTCTCTCATGCAATGGCTACTCACCTGATGTATAAGTCGATACTGGGGGAGGCAAATGGTGCTGGAATAGCATATAGTACTTGTGAGCCGTTCCGCCAATGCCCCTGAAGACGTCGCATCGCATGAAATCGTCGACATAGGAACCGAATCCGTCGATAATCTGTCGCCGATCAGCAGAGCTTCTCCTTACATGCGGATTTCAACGTACGTCGTGGTCGTCCCAGATATTGACCTGGGGAATCTGGCCGTTGGCCGTGGCGAAGGGCTCAGTAGAGTACCTAGACTCCGTCAGAACTGCACCTGCATTCAGAAGCTGCCTCACACTCACCATCGAATGTAGTTCTTCAAGTAGTAGTCATCGCAAGCTTGGCGGAGCTTCTCCGGGAAGGGAAAATGCCTGCGCTTCTTGGGGTTCGAGATATCGGTCCACTCGCGCAAAGGACCGTCGACTCGAATTCCGTCATTGTAGATCTGATCGCCACCCCCAAGCCTAGACACAAGTCAGCAACACAGAGGGAAGTGATCCGAAACACTGGACGCACATGACATGGAACGGGCGTTCCTTGTGATGTCTGTTGACATCGTTCCACAGGGCGGGACCGCTCCAAGCATCCTCGTCGGTGCCAACACTGAAGCCGTTGCAAGAGTGGAACATGATGCGCATCGACTCGTTGACGGCGGGGACAAAGAAGTGGTAGCGGTCTGGGCGGATACTGGAGAAGCGCATGTCGGGTATCAGGTACTCCCACTTGGCCTCGGTCTGGGAAAGAGGAAGCGACAAGTCAAACGCCCAGAAGGTGTTGCGCGGGTCTGAGTAGAGGCATTGGCCCTGAATTTCTGTGCTGTTCGCGCCTGCGCCGTTTGCGCCGTTGGAGCCTTCACCATTGACGGTTCCATTCGTTCCGTTAACGCCATTCGCCTCAGGAATAGCATGCTGAGTGTCGGCAGAGCCCGCGGGACGCAGAATGAGGTGCGGCGCGAAGCTCTGCGTCTTTCCTCCGCCCTTAGCGACGATCAAGACGCTTCCATACCAGCGATCCGCGTCCATCCTGCGGTAGTTGAGCAGGGGACCGCAAATGATCTCCTTGCCATCGGGAGCGTCTGGCTGCTCATAGGAGTGGGCGGTGGTCGCGCGAGGCTGCTCGTCGCCGGTGGCCTCGCCGGCAGCGATCATGATGGGCTTGAAGTTTGGTGCGGCGTTGGGGTTCTCGGGCTCGACGCGGTCGCGGTTCAGGAAGCTGGCAAGATCGTTTGTGGTTCCGCGGTCCTGAGGGTCGCGGGGCACTGCGTGGGCCTGGGCGGCATGGCGCGCAAAAGCAGAGCTCTCTTGGTGGCGCCATCTGTTGGCGGACGCGTGAGGGTTGTGGCCAACATCATCGAGGGCCTCCCCTTGGGAGTGGTGAGACGACATGATGGCGTTTTGCTATTTTCAGGCCAGATTTTTGTAGATTTCGGCTTCGATTCTGAGTAACCAGCTGTTAGAATATGCGAAGCCCATGAGAACAGCTCTGAGCAACTGTGGCTCCTTACAATGTCTCGGCGCAAATTAGCCTGCCAGGGTCTGTTTGCGCGCCTGTGAGCTCTCGAGAGCTGGTCAGCAGGGGTTTGTTGTTTGCGATTGCGCGGCAACGAGGATATCAACAGTCGGGTGTATCTGGTACTACGGGAGGGACTGAGGCAAAGCGAGGAAGGGGGAAAAACGGGAACAGAGGGAAAAGAAAAACAGCTGGCGACGAGAGGGTGTTGCCAAATACCACACCATAAATCGCACGAGAAAAGTGTGTTGTGTTGGATTGGATGCTTGTTTGGCCGGGTAGTGCAAAGTGACGCGGGCTAGGAATGAAGTGGCAGGGATTGGCGTCAGTGGGCACCTCCGCTACGCAACCACTGCGAGCAACGCCGCTAGAAGCTGCCTGTCGAGCTGCACGGTGGACCAGGGGCTTTCTAGGGGTGAACCTGGGACGGACCTGACCCGAGCGTGTCCGTGGAGTTCACGGGGGCAGAGGTGCTGCGGCGCTGACGCTGGAGATGATGGCAATCGCCGTTTGAGATGTGCAATATTCTTCTCGCTGGGGTGCTCTCTTGTCGCGAGTTTAGGCTCAGACTTACGGAGGTGGCAGCAACCCCGATGTTGGCCCGTTTGTCGTTTGGGGGCCAACCGACGATAACAAAATGGGCAGAACAGAATCCATGATCGCCGTATCTTTCTCTCGCTCCCTTTGCCTCCCTTGCACGACCGCGGTCTACAATCTACAGTCTACACCGTCTAGCTTGGCTGGCGCTGCTAGTACTGCCAGGCGAACCGGACATTCAACCCACCTCAGTCCGCCATCCTTGTTGGGGGGTTCGCAGCAAATCCAATCCAGTCCAACGCCGTCCAGCTGACCATGCAGTCGAGCCGTGTAAGAACCGGGTCCGAGTCTCCCTCTTACATCCCAGCGGCTCCCATTCGTGCAAGCATCCGAGTCTAATCCACGCATCCATCCGTCTCGATACGCCTTTTACGAATGCCATACTTGGGGGGCTCAACAGTTGCTGATGCGTGGTAGGCAGCATCCTCCCGTCTCTTACATTACAATTGGCTGGTCATCGACAACGTGCTGGCGTTCCACCCATCGTCACCCGTCTCTGTGCCAAGTTTGCCGGTACTCGTCGGCGCCCTCTTTCGCCAATTTCTTTCTGGCGGGCGTCTTGGAGATGGGATGACGAGTGGCCAGAGCTCCCGCCAGCTTGCTTTTGGCAAACACACCGTTCCATGCTTGCAGGCGGTTCCCGGGCAGCGCACCATTCGGAGACCGCACAATGTAACCCTGCTACTGCGTAGTTTACATCGTACGAAGCCGCGAAAGCCTCCTGCAAGGTAAAGCAGACAACAGAGCATTTTGTCACTCCAGAGCTGAAAGGCGAGACTGCGCCCCTTCAACCATAGTCACGGGAGGCCTGCGGAGGTACGGGAACAACGGTTCAAATGCCTTGAAGCCTACAGCTGCCGCGGCAAGCTGCTGATTGCTTGAATGGGCATCCGTAAATTGTCGATACGCGCTGCGATGCCTGCCAGATGTGGCCTGGTCGGGGGTGAAATTGGTCAACTACGTCAGGACTTGTGGCTCTTGGAAATGAAACAGGAATGCCCCCACAAGGCCAAGGCTTAAGATGCCTTAGATGACCCGCCGAGGATCCACCCTTGTTGCCCATCACCCTGGTCACCCGCTGTGACTGTTGAGCTTTCGCCCCCCGGCCCCGGCCCTGCCACATCCCGTAGTGAAATCGTATCGCGGCTGCCGGCGGGTCACTTGGCGTCCCGGTCCTCTTCTCCGGGCGCATCCACTCAGCGCCGGGTCCATCCCGCTTACCGCCGATTTTGTCGTGTCAAGCCATTTCTTCGATTCGGAGCACCGTGCCTGAGCCGAAAGATACCCCTCGGAAAAATCGCCGGTACCTGGTAATTGCATTCGGCCAGCAATCGTGGGCTTGGATTGACAGGATAGCACGCATCACAATTAGATGAGGAGGGTCTTGAGCCGGGATTAATGGCACCATTCAAAAGGGTGATAGAACTAAGATGAAGTTGACCTATATCTTGGAGCGTCTTCATTCTGAAGCTCGAGTCACGGCTGTCATTGGCGTTTGGTAGCTGTCTGTTCACTGTTCCCCAAGTAGGTGCGTCCTAGTTGTGTTTAAATAAGTTACCTTATATCATCGAATCCTCGGAGGGAAAAGTCACCACTGGGTTCACATCAAGGGACTACAATCCCAACCCTCATTCTGCCTAAAATAAGGTAAGAAGAGGACCGTACTTGAGTCGGGCGATCGCGATAGCTCGAAACATCTACAAAGACCTGGAGCAGGCGTGACCACATCTGCTGCAAAGCCCGTGAATTTGCAGCATTTCCCATCAGATTCCAGGCTGCAGCGGCCTCTGGGTGCGCTTCGTGAGGCTCGAGCTGGCGAGAATTCTGGGGTTGAGTCAATCAGGACCGTGCTGGGCAGGCAACAGCGGGCTTTAGCGGCTCTCGGCAGCGGCACATCAGCGGGGTCCCCTGCAGGTCACTGGACTTCGTGTCAAAAGCTCCCCACGATCCAGGCAGCATACCCCCCTGTCTCGCGTCTTCCTTTCTCTTTTGCCTGACCGCCGCGTCTCGTGCCTGGCGTGGCAAGCATGTTGGCCAGTGTACTGGCGACAGCTTCAGGGCAAATGTGAATGCCGCCCAGCAAACAGAACTGTCACGGGCTAGCGTTGTGGCGGCAAAGCCATTGGAGGAGCTGAGGTGCTTCCTATGCTGCGGCGTTTGCAATACAAGGTACCTCCGAGGAGGGCATCCGTCAGCTTATTGATGGTGTTTTACCCCAAAGAGCTAACATACCAACGAGTAGACCTCCGTTTTCCAATACGTACCTGCCCAAATCGTGTCGTTGAGCTAGACTCTGCCTAGACGATCCTTTATTCATGTCCCCTCTTTTTGACAACCAACGGTGAAGTCTCGATGTGAATAAGCGAAGAGTAAACCAGTATAAAACAACTTCATCGTTTCCTTCATCTCTGACCAAATCCCTTCCCATTCACCTCAGCTGCATTCCATCTATCCTCCAGCCCGCTTGTCAACTGTTTCAACCCATTTTGTCACTTCGAGGCTCGATTGCTCTTTCCTCTCCACCCCGTCCACTAGCAGTCAGTCACCTTCTCTACACTACCTTAGTTATTTAGGTAGGCTTCTCAACTCACTTGCCAAGTTCAATCTCTGCTCGCGGGCTCCTCTGTCAAACCTACGCGGGAAGTCAAACCCATTGCCCCCGTCACCATGTCTCTCCCTCACCTTCAAGAGTTGCCAGCTCCTCATGTGGAGCTGGTCAATTATATCCACGACCACCCGGAAAAGACGATGATTGATATCATGGAACCCTATCGCAAGTATGAGGGCCAGCTTCGTTCTGTCTTCGCCCAGGACCGCAAGAACCCGGCTCTTGACGACCCTCACATCAATCTTGTGCCATTGTTCAACGAAAACACCAAGAACATCAAGGTTCGAGCGCGTTCTCTGGACTCTGAAACTCAAGAGGAGAAGGACCGCTACATAATGGCCCTTCCAGATGACAAGCGACGACCCAATGGCTCTCCTGCCGTGGTCTCGTCCCTCAAGGAGTTCCAGAAGAACTTCAACGTCTTCTCCGAATCCTCCCTCGTCGATATGAACTGGGATAACGTCGTTGCCGCTGGATCCTCCGTCATCAACACCCTTCTGCCGGTCCCCGCTGAGTTCAACACTTCCAAGCGCAAACTTCGGGAATACTACCACGAGAAGTTCTGTCCGGCATCTGACGTTGATCTCTTCCTCTACGGACTGACCCACGACGAGGCCATTGAGAAGATCAAGGAGATTGAGACTGCGGTTCGAGACGCCATTTTGACTGAGGTCACTGTCGTTCGCACCAAATATGCCATCACGATTGCCTCTCAATACCCCACGCGACATATCCAGGTAGGCATCAAGCGAGTATGATAAGCAAACTTGACTAACATACCGCTCAGATTGTCTTGCGCGTGTATAAATCCATTGGAGAGGTATGTGGCATAATTTCACTTTTCTATCACAACCTAGCCAATGCAGGCCAGACCACGGCAAACAAACAGCTAACGGCGTCAAGATTCTCACTGGTTTCGATATCGACGCGGCTGGTGGAGCCTACAACGGAAAGCAAGTTTGGGTGACTCCGCGAGCTTTGGGCAGTTTCATCACTCAGATCAACCATATCGACCTCACTCGTCGAAGCCCTTCCTATGAGAACCGTCTGTCCAAGTACAGTCATCGCAACTTCGAAGTCTACTGGCCTGATCTCGATCGCAGCCGCATCGATCCAACCATTTTCGAGCGCAGTTTTCAGAGAACCCTCGGCCTGGCTCGACTGTTGGTCCTGGAACGACTCCCCACATCATCCGTTCGTGACGAATACCTCAACAAACGGAGGCAGGAGAGAGGTCGTCCAGCAGCAAATCGCTACAACCCCCACCAGCTATTTGGCAACATCAAAGACAGCCACGAGGATGAAGTTGCAGACTGGGTTGATGAGACCGACGTGTCCAACTACCATACATTCACAGTTCCCTACGGCCAGCAGTATGTTGAAAAACAAACGCAGATGCAGTGACTCCTGCTGACTAGTGCAGTTTCCATGCGAAGAAGATTGAGAAGCTTTGTTACACTCGAGATTTGCGTAAGCTTTTCCAGCCTTATGCACACATCATTCCCCGACTGACTCAATTCCTAGTCCTCAACGCCGAGTGGAACCAACCCAAGGAGAGGGAGGTCCACCTTCACCGACATCCTGCCTTCTTTGGTCGCGTCGAGGACGTCATCGAAGATTGCTGTGGCTCCTGTCCCAAACCATCAACCCCGGAGGAGGTGGAGGCGGCCGAGAGGGAGGCTGAAATTTACATCTCTGGAAAGGTCTCATTCCTGATCGTAAGTGCTGAGCCATTTCCTCGGTCAATCGACTTACGGGGTTTATCATTATGCATAACAAATTGACTAACATGTCGGCAATAGGACGATCCCGGACGACAGCAAATCGGTTCCTTCAACCCTCTCAACGAGGATGACTGGACAGACATGGCCTACGTCGGAAACACAGCGCGTCTCTCCCAGAGTATTGTGAACGGCGATATCAACGAAGTTTTGGACTGGTTATCCCAGGAAGGGGCCGACCCAAACAAGAGGTCACACACTGGGTTTTCAGCATTGCATCTGGCTGTGATGGGCTCGACGCCTGAGATTGTTCGTTGTCTTGTCGAGCACGGAGCTAGGTTGACTGCTCGTCTCGCTGATGGCCGGACCGCTCTTCATCTTGCTGCCGAGCGAGGCAATGTAGACATGATCAAGATTCTCATGGAGAAGAGCATTGCGAACGAGGAAGAAGAGGATGAGAAGCAGGATCGCCGCCGCAAAGACATGCGTACCAAGTTGCAAGACGGTTCCTCCCGGAGCGTCCCCGAAGATGACGCGTCAATGAACGGGAACACCAACAACGAGGGCGACGATGAGGACTCTGACATTGACATGGTCGATGCCGGCAATACCGAAGCTGATTCTTTGGCTACAGGATCCTTCGTCAAGGTCAAAGATGAAGACAAGAGCAAGGAAGATCTCGTGCTGGAGGAATCCACCGATGAGCCCGACTTTTACAAGATTGACGTCTTGGCTTGGGATATCCCCTGCTCCCCCCTTCAACTAGCAATCTCGGAAGGACACGAAGAGGCCGTCAAGGCTCTCTGTGAGTTCGGAAGCGACGCTCTTCTCCCAGTCAAATTCCTCGACTCTGAGAAGCAACCCACAGCCGCAATTCTTACCCTTGCGCTTGCCCTATCGCTACCTGTCGAGAAGGCTAAGTCTATGGCTCTCTTGTTATTGAAGCTGGGCGCTACTTCATCCCAAGCGGATCTCAACGGGTGCACCGCCTTCCACCGCTACGTTGAAAACGGTAGCCAGGAGATGATTGATGCGCTGTGGGAGCATGATAAGGCCGGTCTGAAGACCGCTCTAAACCACATGGTGTTTGGCAGCCGCTACTGGGACCCCCAGGCAATTGCTCCTCTTCACACAGCCATCGAGAATGGAGACTCAATCTTGGTGCTCAAGCTACTCGAAGCTGGCGCTAATCCTCAGATCGACTTCGACACCTGGCTGAAGGCAGTCAAATTCTCCAAGGCATCCAACCGACTCAGTACCTATGAGGAAAATAAGAAGCTGTTCCAGCGGTCAGTGACACAGCCCCTGATCGTTGCCATCAGGGGATGTTCCGACCCGGAAATAGCCCTCAAACTCCTCGAGAACGGCGCAGACCCCAACACTTTGACCAACGAATCACACCAGGTAATCTCGGACGAATGGCAACGACGATACAATAAGGGCCAGTCTATTCTGGATCTCGTGCGAAACCAGCTGAAGCACCTGCGCGAGTACAAGGGCGAGAAGACGTCTCTCAAGAAGCCTTCTTTACCCGGCGGCATCGACGACTTCCTCCGAACGTACGAAGAGGGGACTTATCAGCATTGGATGTTCTCTCAGAACATTGAATACCGCAAGGCAAGCTATGAAAGGAAACTCGAACGGTACGAAGAAGAGAAGAAGAAGCACGCAGAGACCAAGGGTGCGTCTGAGAAGATGGAAGCCATTAAGGACGTCATCGCAACGCTCGAGAAGGTGGAGAAGACCATCATTGACAAGGGAGGCAAGACTTTCGAGGAGCTGTACTCCGATATCAAAGCTCCCGAAGACGACTCGAGCAATCGTGCTTCTTCGCCTGAGGAGAGACTCAACCTATACGACTACAACATTTCTTTCAGCGGCGTGACTGACGTCACTGAAACGAGGAGGGCTGCCTACCTGGAGATGTAAGTCACCAAATCAAGAGCGTCACGTAATGAAGCTAACAAAGTCGCAGGTTTGAGGCTGCATGGGCCGGAAATGTGGACAAGATCAAGAGTCTTACTTTGCAAGCTTGGGGCAAGGATCAAGATGAGCCACCGCTGAAAATCTCTGTCAACGACGATAGACATAATACGCCTTTTTCATTGGCGTTTCTTCGCGGTCATTACGACGTAGCATCGGCAATTTTGGAGATTGTCATGGCTCAGTATGCCCCGGAGGAAGAGGAGGCAACCCGGTACAAGCTGGACAACGGCAATTCCGACGACGAGGACGAGGAGTCCTACGAAAGCGACGCAGATTTCAATGACGAACCCAAGATCATTTCAGAGATCGTCGATAAGAAGTTTACGATTGAGAACATTGGTCAGGTGTCAATGCAAGTCAAGTCGACTGTCAAGCCCATTGAGTTTTTGACTGAAAGCGTGCAAGCCTTTGCGATGGCGAACGGCAAGCCGAGGAACGATTGTAGACAATCCCTGTTCATGTTTGTTGTGCAACAAGACGACCAAGCCGGATTGAAGGTACTCCTCGACATGGCGACCCACTTCGCTGGTCAGAAGCTCATCGACGGCCGACACGGCGAGGAAGAAGAGGATGTCGGAGGGCGCTTTTCGTTCCCGGAAGATGCCTTCCTTCGGGCTGTCCAAGAAGGCAGAACCACAGTTTTGGCCGAGATCATCAGCCGAACCGGCGCGGGCATTCCGCTGGACGACCTTGTCAAGAAGAGTGGCATCGAGATGAAGAGGAAGCCGAGATATTACCAGGGATTGACGGTCTACGGAAAGAAGAGGTAAATAGCTATCATTGTGATGATCGCGGCTGTACTGACAACATTACAGGAAGGACTGGGCAACAGCAGGGCGCAACATGGTTGTCAGGTCGACCGGGATGAAGACGCCGCCCCTCCTCCATGCTGCCCTCAATGGCAACATTGCCAGTGTGGAATGGTTCCTCAGCGATGCCCCGCATCGCCATTACACCGACTTTGGAAAGTCCAAGACAGCCCGGGAAGATCCCAGACTGAAGCATCTCAGCCAGTCGCCTGGAGGGTTCGAGCGCGCCATTTCCAAGTGGCTAGGCATTCAGAGTAAGTACGCCGCAATTCGTTCCATGGTACACTCCTTGCTGATATGGCCATCCAGATGAGCTCGTCTTGCACTGCGCCGTGATGGGACCGTCGAACGAGGCCACCGATAGGACGGTCAAGTACCTCATCCAGGCGTGTCCCAACTCCTTGGAGTACAAGTCGACCTCCGGCGAAACGCCCCTCTGGCTCGCCTTCTTCTTTGGCAAACTCGAGATCGCCAAGATGCTCATCAAGGCCGGCGCGAACCAGATGATCCGTAACAACGCGGGTGACAACATCATCCATGCTGCCTTGGACTGCTCTCCCAAGGCCTGCAGGCTCCGTCCCATGCTGGAAGTCGTCGACTCGAGCATCGTCACCCATTTGTTCCAGCAGCGCAACAACCTTCACGAAAGCGGCACAACCCCTCTGCACTCGTGGATCACCAGCGCCTGTCGAGGATACCATTACGCCTACAGGAAGTCGTACGACAATGACGACCAGATCCTCGAGGTTCTCGGCTTGATTCTGGAGTACTCCAAGGGCTCCGAGCTGGAGGTGCTCTCAGGTTCCGGCGACACTCCTCTGCACACGGCCGTCATGTCCCGGAACAAGCTCCTCACCAAAGCTCTGCTCGAATACAACCCCAAGCTGTTGTACCGCGAGAACGCCGTCGGCCGTACCCCCGCAGAAATCGCCCGCGAGGAAGTGACCGGCGAGAAACTCACCGCGCCGGACACCATCTCCTTCCACTTCAAGAACTACAACAACGACAAGGAACCGCGCGCGCTGGTCAACCGCAATGCCGACACCTTTGTCGATTACAAGAACCGCAGTGCCTGGACAACCACGTCCTTGACGGACAAGCAACGGGTCTGGGAGATTGTCCGCTCTGTCCTCGAGCAGTGCCCCGGCAAGCGCCGTCTCGTCTCCCTCAACGAAGCAAACGACGTCGCCAAGCGTCTGGGGGAGAAGTACAACAGCACTCGCTACTTCAACATCCGGGCGCGCAACGACGAGTACGCCGACGCCGAAGAGAACGAAGCCAAGGAGGAGAACAAGGAGGATTTCGTGGCTCACTCTCGGCGGGCAAGAAGTACTCAGGCTTGGTGCTTCCCCGTAGACGATGCACAGCCCACGTGTGCGGGCTGTGGGGAGAAACACGCCTAACGCCAGGACGTTTGTGAACGTCGAGTGCCGCCGAGGAAGAAACTGACACAGAAACTGAGACAAAGACAGACGGCTCGATGATTGAGGGTTAACTAACTGTGTGATTGAATTCTTTGTTCATTTGTACGCCCTATGTGGAAGGATGGACGTTAATTATCACGGGTCTTCGTGGCCTTTGCTCCAGATAGCTACCAGATTGAAAATCTCGTTACCCTCATCTCCCTCGCTCTCATCGTTCCAGTGCGAATTCTATTGGCTATACCGGCTTAAGGAGAGAATTACGAAAATGGTTGCCTTGGTCTAAACCTCTTCTGCGATGCTAACTCAAGAGATCGTAGAAATTCATGATTGAAGTCACCCGCAGTAGATATCATTGGATCAGTTGCTATTAGATTCACGCAGAGATGGATATGAAAATGACTTTTCCCAACGCCTCTCCAGCTCTGCCAAGCACGTCCACAGAGCTATCCTATGACACTCGCTCAAACTCCCTGGGTATCTCGAACAAAATCCACTGCTCGTCACCGGCAACCGTGGCCCTGGTCTCACCATCTGCACGTTTCACGTTAGTGGTAGACGGGCATTAGAGGAAGGCCCTCATCTTATGTAGACCTCGATCGTCTCCATGTCGCCAATGTCAGCATCCGCGACGGTAACATCCTCTTCAAGCTCATCACCGTCGAACATGAGCGTGATGGGAGCATCAGGCGCCAAACCACGCATCTTGCGAAACAGTTCCATAATCGTTCCGATCTTTGTGGATGGTCGCACCGATGTCTTGAGGGGCTCGTCCGTCTTGGTCTTGAGTAGAACCTTGATCTTCTGCTCCTCGGGCTCGGCCTCTACGACCTCGTCGCCCCCGTCTCCGTCTTCGTCGTCGGAGTACTCCCCGCGGTCATGCCTGCGTTGCCTCGCCACTTGCCTCTCATGTTCCTCCCACAGCGCCGGTGTCCACATCTCCATGTGCACCTTTGTCCAGTCTTCCTTGAAACCGTCTTGCCCACCAGCTGTCTTGCGATACTCGCCCTGTAGATCGAGACTATAGAGGGTTGTCAAGTCGTAGAGCCTGTGCCCGCGCCAGGTGAGAAAAACCTCACTTATCTCTGACTGAGGAAGGTCCAGTCGTCCGCTGTGCACGTCTATCCATGCGTTGCGGAGAACCTTGATCGGTTTGGACAGGGTGAACTTGAACTGCTTGCTGACGACGCCGGGTATGTCAGAGGTGACGAAGATGACCACTACCTGTTTCGCGTCCTCGCTCTGTTCCCTCGCCAGCCTCTCTTGAGCTTCTTTCCGCTCTTTTGCCGCTCGAATGTACTCCGCCATCTCATCGTCGTCGTCTTCCGTGGCAGCGGGATTCTTTTCTTCGAATGGATCATCGTCGTCGTCGTCTATTACCAAAGGAGAGGGATCCCGGTCCTCAGGAACGGTTTTGCGGATGGGAGACGCATCGTAAATGTCATCCTCGTCGTCGTCGCTATCGTCGATCGAAATGATAGGCTTCGATGGCAAAGGTTCCTGTTTGCGCGGCGTTCGGGAAGCAGCGGCGCGTGTCATTCGCTTGGATGGGGTCTCGTTACCGGCTCGTTTGGAAGGCGACGGCTTTATCCTCGACTCTGGGGACTCGTCGCTTGTACGGGAACGTTTTGACGGCGGTGTGTCTGGGCCTCTGCTACGGTGGACAGATCAGCATCATGGAGGGGTGGCGCGAGGCTTGAGAGGGATGGTGGTACCTGAGATCCTCATGCTGGTGGTAGGTTTCGTGGAACGGATCTTCGCTTGCTCGTCTTGGTGAGGAGCCCCTTTTCGCGGGAGAAGGGGCTTGCGAGCTCTTTTCCCGCTCAGCCTGTTTGCGCTTGCGCTGTCGTTCCTGCTCCAGTCGCTCTTGCTCGAAGACGCTGGCGCCACGGTTGAAGAGGCTAATCCCGTCATCGTTGTCCTCATCGTCGCTATTATTGACCACTGGTTTCGGTGCAGCTTTCTGGCGCAAAGCAGTCGGCTTGAATGGCAAGCGCTTTTTCGGCTTCGCTGCGTCTGCCATCGTGGCGCGGCTGGTTTTCGATTTTGTTGGAGGAAAAAAAAAAAGGTGATGCGATGCGATCAAAGTTGCGTTGCAGGGGCCAACAGGAGGGTCGATGAAAAGCCGACGGACGAAAAGATACAGTAGCCAACGGCTGGGGTTTTTTTTGGAAGGGCAGTTTTCGACAACGTAGAAAGAAACGGAAAGCTCGGGGGCTATGCCGGAAGAAAAGAGGCGGCAGGAGAGAGCATCACGGCCATGCGCCCCGAGAATGAATTGGAAGGCGCGCGCATTGTGTTGGGGGGCGGCGGTCGCTGCAGTGTGGTGTGGTGTGTTTCCGTGGTGAGAGCGCAAGAATTGATTGCTGGACCCCACCTGCAGTTGCCTGCTGCACATTTCAGACCGTGGGGTGTGCGCTGCCCAGGTAGCCTTACAGTGCGAACCATCCTGGGACCTACCTGAGTACCTATCTTTTGGAGCGACCAGTGCAGGTGCCTTCCACCAGCCCCGCTTTGGCCGTCAACCGCATCGGCGCCAGCTGTTTGCCAGCCAGCAATCTTCGAAACATCGTCAACGCATCCAGTGCCAGGATCCATCAGCCTCACTCACTCACTCGCTCATCACTGCCGACTGCACCTTATACCCACCGATCGCCTCCATCAACCTCACCTTATTCCGGAGCAAAGAGCTTCACAATGGAGAACGGAAACATCAGCCAGGGCGAGGGTAAGGACCCCTCCAGCTTCCTCAGCGACATCATTGGCAACCCCGTCACTGTGAAGCTCAACTCGGGCGTCGTCTACAAGGGTGAGTGATTGGTCATGTTGAGGCTGGAAATACTCGGCATCTGCGTGTATGACTTGGTTTGGGGAGCTAACACGCTCGACAGGTGAGCTGCAGTCTGTTGACGGCTACATGAACATCGCGCTGGAAAAGACTGAGGAGTACGTCAACGGCGTCAAGAGGCGGGCGTACGGCGACGCGTTTGTGAGAGGAAACAACGGTGAGTCAAAACTGTCCCAGCAGCTTTGGAATTATCATGCTGATGAATGTTGTACAGTCATGTACATCTCCGCGGACTCGTGAGGGAAAGGAGGATGAGAATTTGATGATGGCTACGCGGGGGGCTGAAGCTGGGCACTGCGTCTGCAGATGATACTCGTCGAAGACGCTCATCACACAAAAACAAAAATCTACCAAGCATGAAATATACCCTCAGTTCCCAGCTCATCGGTCACCAATCACAACCTCGAAGTCCACGCGAAATATGTGACGCCATGCAGCGCAACCTCCCCCTTCTCATTCTTCTCGACCGTCTCTCCCGCCAGAATCTCATCAAACCTGTCCTTGAAACCCTCGGCTGCCGCGCCCTCCAGCACAGCAATCTGGCTCAGCGTACGGATACGGTTCCACACCGCCTCGGGCGTAAGCCAGACGGTGAAGGGCACCTTTCCCTCGCCAACAGGAACGCTGAAGAGGGGCATCTTCCGCCCACCCTCGAGCACAACGTCCTTGACGGCCTTGAGCGGGTTCGAGTCGAGCTGCCGGTCAAAGACGTCTTTCCAGACGAAGTCGCGGAAGCGGGGCTGGCCGTCGGTGCCAAGGCTAAAGACCAGCTCGTTTAGTGACTGCTCCCATGGCGTGCTGGCTTGCCAATGCTTTGGCTTGTTGTCTATCGCCATTGTCAGCTGGGAAAATCCTTTAATTCGTGAGCGGATATCGTAATGGAGAAGGTCTTACAGTCTTCAATATTCCAGATCAAACCCAGCACAGCTGTAGGTCTCAAGACGCGGTGGATCTCCTTGAGAGCATCCTCGTTTGCGAACCTGTCGGTGTCAGTATCTTGCCAACGGCAACTCCTCAAGCTCCCTTACCAGTGAAAAGCCTGTTCATAAGGTCATGTCAGCGGTGAATCATTTGAAGCCAAAGTGTCTCAAGTCGAGCCTGAGAGGGAACGGGAGACTGACCTGTCCAACAACACACGCATCGCCCCACTCCTCCTCCAATGGCACCTTGGCCGCAAACCCATCCCTCACCACCGTGCCCTTCAACGCCTTCCTCTCCAGCTGTGCGCGCATCTCCGCATGAGGCTCCACAGCCACGACATTGAAGCTCTCGTGCCTAGCGGCCAGAACCTCTGTCAATTTGCCCGTGCCCGCCGCCAGGTCGAGAACATTGGCATGTGCAAAGTCGGCAATCTTCAGATGCGACAGGAACCGCTGCGTCGCCTCGGGCGGGTACGAGGGCCGGTACGCGTCATATGAGGCCGCGTCCGAGAAACCCTTGGTACCGGGGTGAAGTTCCGTGGGAGACATGTCGGTTTGTTCGCCTTTCTATATCTCCAAGAAAAAGGCTAGATCCGAATGTTTAACGCTAGACAGTCGACAGTCTAGGCGATGGCCAGCATGTAATGACTCCAAAAGCCGAGATTCTATGTGCACAGACGGAATAGATAGATACTCTCGGAAGGGAAAAGTAGTCGCGGGAAAGCTCAGATGTCCACGTTGATATCCCTCAAGGCCAAGGATCCTTCATCGGTGGCGCACGTCATGTCCGTTGAGCCACTCATGCCAGCGTGGGGTGGGTAGGGAGGGAGGGGCCAAGCGAAGGAGGGGACCCATGGGAGGCGTGGAGTTGGGCATATCCGGCGGCCGGTGCCGAAATCGCGGAGGTTGCGCCGAAGAACGGAGCAAAAAAAAGGCACCTCATGCAATGGTGGGAGCCGAAAATGCGCTTGCCAGGTGCAAGGATACATACATGACGTTACAGGCTTACTATTGGGCTTACTTTATGCTGCTTGACCCCCCAGCCTCGACACCACGCTTTCTTCTCACAAGTCCAAGCAGTCAGCGTAGGTATCCGAGAGCGAAAACAGACTGGTCGAAGAATCACTGAACCTGCACGGCAATTGTTCTTAATTCTTCTGTTTATTCTTTCTATGTGATTGATGTTGTTAAGGATAGTCGGTGCCCCTTTCATTTTAGAGGCCTGACGATGGATTCCATCGCATTCCCGATCGTCTGCTGTTCCCCTCCTTCCCTCGCTGTCTCACCTGCTTGTAACCCCGCCCGTAGATATTTTTACAATCCTCAAACGCCTTTGGGAAGCCTCCTTTTTTGTTAGGCGCCAAGATTCCCTGTCCTTTTCCATCTACCCTGCCCAGCATTGGCAGTTCTACTAATGATACATTGTTATTAGAATTCCAAGTTGAAGAAAAGAAAATGCCTCAAGACATTGAAAAAGTAACTCGCTGTGCCAACCAATGCTGTTCATCATGTACTGTCCTCAGCCTGAATTTTCCTGAACAGCGTGGTGCTTTAGCTCCGGCTGCTGCTGCTGCTTCCACTGCTGCCGTCGCTGGGGTGGCGGTGATGGTCGTGATGGGCGGTAATGTACTCATCGGGCGCGAACGTAACGTGGTGGCCCTGTTGAGAAGGCAAAAGGGCGTGGTCGGCACCGGGAGTGGTGACCGGCGAGCGGCTTGGGCTCGCAAAGGGGTCGGAAAACTCGCCACCAGGGGAACCCTGGGGGACAGTAGAGTAACCCTTCTTGCCGTTGTTGGGGATTTGAAGGCTTCCGGAAAATGAACGAACGCCAGTGACCTTGGGCTGAGGAGGGCTGCCACCTCCGCGAGCGTTGTTCAGGTGGCGGTTGACAGGAGGTGGGCGAATAGGGACTCTGACGTCGACGCCATAGTCCCCGGAAATACGATCGGTTGGGCCATACTCGTCGTCGTGCATGGCCGCGGCTCCGGCTCCGCGAGGCTGGTATGTCTGGTATGTCACATCGGCACTGGGCTCACCCTCCAGACGTCTCAAAGCATCGGCTTGACTTGTGACGCGACCCTGAGAAGACATGGACTTGGGGCGATAGGTCTGGGGGCCATAGTTATTGCCGCCACGAGAAGACGATGCCGGAGAATTGAAAGGATCGGAGTTCGTGGGAGAGGAAGGCGAGACGGGAGCTTGAGCGACGTACTTGCCCTTGCCTTTGGCCGAGTTCGGGGGAGAGTCGGTAGCGGGGGTGCCAGGACGAGAAATCCAGATGCCATCGACCTCGATACCAGACTGGATAGCTCGGACGCCGAAGGGGATGTCGGACTGCTTTCGCGGGGGAGGAAGACCGGTTGATTCCATCTCAGAGGCGTGAGCTCGCTTTTCGGCATCGATAATCTCAAGTTTCGCCATGTAACGATTCGTCCACCATAGCTTGACAAAGCCAATGGCGAAGACGACGGCGATGGCACATGCAAGGACCTAGAAGCAACCGTTAGATATGTTGCAGATCATGAAGGACAACTCAGCTGGGAAACATACGAAGGTCATCTGCTGCCACAGCTCCCAATCCACGAAAAATCTTCCGCCCATCTTGATGGTGTTTTCTTGTGACTGACTGAATTCGGGATAGAACGGTGAGGGTGGTGATGATCGATGAGATACGCTCAGTGGCCGAGCAGGGGGCAGGGGATGGTGATTGAGATCAGATGAAAAGTGGTGATGGTGAATGATCGGAGCGCTGCGCCGGTCTACTTGAGGCGATGAAAGAAGTGAAGAAAAAGTCTTTTCGGACTGAGGTTGGTTGTTGTGACGTCCGCCTCTTCTGCTTTCGGCCAGACCCTTTTTCGAATGCGGCAGGTGGCACTTCGGATGAACGGTGTAAGTGGCACGCAATTAGCCCAACCGGTGTTGCTGGTATTGAATACAGCCGGGACAGGCACCGTGTCTTTCAAAGGAAGGACAGAAAATCAACCCCAACACCTTAAACAATATTTTGGCGGATTGTCGTGTTCGGCGGCTCGAGGCGATGATGTCGGAACAAGGTGACGAAGGGTTGGTATTCAAACCAGACCAAAACGACTGAAACTCCGTTGAGTATTAGTCAAGACGAGCAGCACACAAAAGCAACCTCGTATTCAGAAGGCAACGGCAGATATTAAACCCTCGGCGGTGAAGAGGAAACAAAACCCATGTGGGAAGCAGTGTCCAGGGTGTGAATGGTCGGAAGGGTGGCAGCAGGTTTTGTATGAAACAGGGTACACGGCTAGCAGCAGCAAACACAACTCATCACATCGCTTGCACCGTCTACGATGGGGAGAACATACGCAAGGCCCAGACCTGAGCCTCGAAAGCGCTGGACTGGGACTAGACTGACGGCAACCGTGGACCATCGTCCGTCTCGGGCAGAGTGTGTCGACAGTGGCTGGGCGACGTCTGTTGCCCAAGTGGAGATGGGAGGATTACTGAGGGTACGGAGGAAGAGACCACCGGCCGAGGACGTGCGAGGTTGAGCATGTACAACCATTAACGTCCACGTCCTCCTCCATCAAGGGGCACTGAAGGTCTGGTGTGGTGGTATCGAGGCCGCGGGCGATTCCTGAGCGCTGTTCTCGTACTCATGGTCCGCTGCAGAGAGGAAGTCTGGATCATCCCTGCTCCTCCATCTAGATCCCATGTCGCGGATCGCGACAAGACACTATGCCCGTTTGCGTTGGGCCGATGGCGTCTTGAAGAGGCTCACACTCGGCCAACAGCACTGAGCCGGGTCGCCGCCATGTCGGAATGCTCTGATCTGGGTTGACAAGTTGGGCACGGCGAACGCTCGCTGAGTTGAGGTGCGAATGCGTAGTGTGACGCCACTGAAAGCTGCGGGGGGATTCGCCAGACTCTGGGAGAGAAGCATTCGCAGTGTGCCACGACAGAAAGAGGTCTCAAATGGCCGTTTGCGGAATGTAAGGTACGGGACGGGTAGCCTTAGCTGCTGATTTAGCGCCGAAGGAAGCGCGGCAGGCAAGCCACACCTGATTTCCAGACCGGGACCCACGAGAAGCTGCTCGCTCCCACTCAGCATCTTGGCTTAGGGTAGGTGCTGTGTGTTTGTCATGCATGTTTGCGGCAAGAGTGAAGCCGCCCTCTGCCACGTTCTCGTGATATTGAGTATTGTTCGCTGGCTGCCACGGCTCTGTGCGCTTTTGTCTTGACGTGAACGTGTTTGATTCTAGAGTTTCCGTGTCACTTTGCATTCCCAGGCCGCTGGAATTTTGGGGCCTGACATGCGACTCAACTGGCCACGCTTTCCGGCCGGCTGCTGGCGTACCTCATCTGGTGTGCTGCCTTCTCGCAATGCTGCAAAGGAACCTTAGACTTGAATGCGGCCCACGCCAGTTGAGAAGCGGGCGGTTTAACGCAGGAACCGGCAGCAACGCGATGCACAGCCTCGGGGGCCGCTTCGGTCGCGGTACCCCTGGAGATCTCACTTTCGGGTTGATCTCCAGTCTGACTCCCGCATGTTGCAGTATGCGGCAGTGTGTGTGCTCTACATAGCATCGCATTGCGTGTGGAGCACAGAGGGCTTCGACCTGAAAACAACGATTGGCCTTGGCGAGCGACGTGCAGGGTACGATCGAGTGCGACTCTAGCCGCGAGGAGGAGTGTTTGAGCATCTCTGCTTGTGACGACCGTTAGCAGTCCATCGCAAGTCGTCTTCTCTGCTCGGACACTCGACGGTCGATCAAATCATATGCTTCTTTTCTTAGCTGCTTGGATACCATGGCGCCGGCCTAGCGCGCCACCATGTGGCTCCATAGTGAAGACTGGGGAGAACAGACGTCGTCCCGTTACCACAGTGAGATGGCACGATGCCCAAGTTGAAGGCCTCCCGGGCCAGGTGGGTTGCTTGAGTTGATTTGACTCGGCGCTTGATGTCAATGCGGTTCGTAGGCGCCACTGGCTCGTCCTTCCCACGGACGCTTGGAAATTACCTGCGTCTCAGCGCCATGCAATCCGAGTAGGCCATCGGAGCACGTCGACGGCAACCAAGTGGTCCAAAACCAAGTTTGAAATTGACAAATTGATATGCCATGAGGCTTGTTGTTTGTCAAGCTCCCAGAACCACGGCCACGGGGTTGTCACAAACTGTGGAGGCAGCCATCGTAAGGTCCTGACATGACATGCCAGGACATTTCCACGAGAATCACCGGGAACCAAAACGATGCACTATATTTCATGATCTGCTTCGGTTCCAGATTTTTAGTCGAGGCGTCTGTGATGCCAGGTCGACATTCGGGGCAGTTCAAGGTTCTCAGAAGAATAGCAGGCCCATTTCTTTGTCTGCGTAGATATTCGGTGAATTTTCCACGCAGGTCCGTCCAAGCTGCAGCCTGGGTAAATGACGGAAACACGGGTTGACTATGCCAGTAAAACGCAGGCGACCGTCAGATTGTGAGCCGCTGACGGCAACACCGATGATCACGGCAGCCAGGTGGTTACGATCAGAGGGTAACAAAGACGACGATTAGTCGCGTCGCCGATGGCAGGCCTTGTCGCGCTTGATGCTCGACGTTGAGAAGCGACTGCCAACCAACCAACGTAGCCTCGCCGAAAGCTTTTGTGATCGTCTCACGACAAAGAAGTGTTCCACAGCAAGCCCAGTAGATCAGTCCCAATGCGGCTTTTGCTGAGCGGTACCACTCTTGGTTGGCAAGGACAGGAACAAGAAGGTCATGAACAGATTGTTCGCCAGAGTTTTCTAACTGTCCGTTCCAGCGTCGCGTCAATCCGACTCGTTACTTGCAATATATGGCACCAGCCGCCTATTGAGCCGACATCCTGGCACCTTATCTTTCAAGCCAAGGGAGCTGCCGCCGTCGGCTGTCGAAACGCAAGTATGTAGCTACGCCATGTCTGCAACGATGGGTTGGGGCGCCTGCGCACTCGATCAGCCGGACAGGAACCATAACGCGGGGCTGCCTTCTCACGATAACTCAATCCGGAGGGTACTAGCAAGCCATTTTTTGCTGCCGCTGCTAAGAAACTGCCATGCGTCGGCGAAAATAGGGTGTGGTCTTCGGCAGCTTACTCAAGCTTTTTCGAAGATTGAAGCGCCGCCGCTACGACAAACACAGCCTTTAGGTCAAGTGAGTGAGGCCATCGTCGGCGTCAACGAGAATAGTCGCGCGGCGGCGGAGGGGGAAGTAGATATGATCTCGAGTCAATTCGTTACGGTGTTGGAAGGTGTTACTTCCGCTTGCGTCCGATCTTGCATGGAATCGTCGATGACGGTAAAGTTCTCAACCAGAAAGCCGGACCTGAAAAAACAGCGTCCGGCTTTCTGGTGAAGAAGGCGTGAGACTCCCCTCAATTGGCGGAAAGTCGGTCCTTCCGACCAGACCTTCGTCGGTGCAACTCGTTCATAAGCTGGCCTTCCTCCGGTGTGGTATATGACGACTCCTTCCCGTTCAATTTTCGGATTGGACGATGCTCTCTCTATGCCAGGGGTGTTCCGACCGGCTGACTTGGTGTGCGACACCGGCATCCCCGTTGACCGGCGTGCTGATCACGTGCTGGACGGCATTCCAGGATTCCAAATTTTCGTCGATACCGTCAAGCTGGCGCCGGAAAGCGAGAATATGGCTCCCGGCGACTGACCGAAGAGGTTCCCCGTCCGGGAAAGTGGTGAGCGGGCGAGTTGGTGGAATGAAGTGGATGCCGATGAAAGCGTCATCCATCTGATAGGCGCGGGATGCGCATCAGACTCCGACGCGGTCAATCAGGAACGGCTGGACGGACATGATGCAGGTCCGCGGTGGCATTGGGTGCAGAATGGAAAACCGGCGTGCCGATCGCGCAGACTTCCTTCAAACCCGGTGCCGAGGCATCCGGGGGCGCACCGTTTGTACGATGTGGAACGCGGGACCTCGTACTGTAGGGCGCTGCGATGCTTGTGAGTGACTGCTCCGTGCAGATAGGACTACTGAAAGGCAGCGATGGCGGTCTTGGAAAAAGCGAGTCTGGACCCGTGACTTGGTCTCGGCCTCTCAGCAACTCCACGATGGATGGTCGTCCTTGGGTGGTACCATTTTAACCGCTGGAGCCAGGATAATCAGGGCAGTGAGGGCAGAGAGGGCATGCCGTAGCGGGGATAGCGCTGGACGGACGTGGTGGATGACGGCAAGCGTCACCCCATCTTTGCGGACGGGAGGGCAGGGTCTCTGCAAGGCAAGGCGGGCTGGGCTTACACAGTACCTACCCAAGGGCGAGGTACCTTGCGTCTGATGCAATCAGCGTGGCCTCCAACGTAGCGCTGCGTAGCGATCCGACGAACCTTGGGCCTTTTAGGATGGGTGGGTTGGCGGCTGACGGCCAGGGAAAACATGGGACAAACACATGTCATTGTGCCTTGCCGACCCAGGTGCCCTTGCCATCCACAAGTATCCGTACTCTATCCTACTACGTACCTACACCTTACAAAAAGCTTTCGCAGCAGGCTCGGTGCGTCCGAGTGCCCGGGCCGTGCATAGACAAGTCTTCTCGCCGGTGCAGTTGCGCTTCCTTCCAAGTTTCCCGTCTCCCCGCGGCAGGAATCCATCATTCCCGTCCGTCGCTCTACGTGGGATATTCGACGACGGGTTTGCTCGGGCCAAACCAGGTCCCCTAAAGATTGGAACCTTTTACTTACTGTGTAGTACCGTACCTTACTAAGTAAGGACCCCGTTGAGGCGAGGTCCGGAGTGGTGCCGTTACCTCATGATCCAATAGATGCAGCTGCAAGAAGGTCATTCGTCACCTTCAAGTCTGCAAAAACTGCCCCTTCCCTAGTCCCTGAGGGGCAGTAGTGCGTACCGCTTCCTGCAAGTGAATGGGGTGCAGTCCATTGCCGTAACAGGCGGGGAGAGAGGAACAGACGGGAAGGGCAAAAAAAGAAGCAAGACCGGAGACATGCCAAAGACAAGGGATGAGGGAAGCCACTGCCCAAAACCTGCAGGTTCCCGCCCGATGATATGGTTCCTGCCTTCCAGGTCTCTTCATTTTTCCAACTTCCGTGCCTCCTACCTACTGTACTACCTTGTCGTCTAATCATCCCGTCATCGTCTGAGGTCCTCATCAACTACACCCTCTGCACCCTCTGCTTACAGCCACCCTCGGAACCCGCACCTCCTGCTTCTGCTTCGCCTTGCGCCTCAACTCTCCTCCACAGACCAAATCCATCTCCCCGCTCCAGACCAATCCAAGTTCGAGTCGTGCAACCAAGCCACCGCCTTACTGTACACCAAGACGAGAGACCCTTGGAACGGGCAACTTGCAATACACTACTAGATACCAAAACCAAGACACACCCGTTAACCTCGACCAACCATACACAAGGCCTAGCAGCCCGGACGGTTAAGACTTCCCATATAGTTCATCACCGTCCCGTCTATCCACGTCCTTGCTACCACCCCGCCCTTCCGGCTCCACTGCTTTATTCCTTTGCAAACACAAAGCTGCCAGCATCACCCTCGAACGTCGGACACAGCTTAAACATCCGCTCTGACTTTTCTCGCACAACGCTCTCCGACTTATAACCCGCCCCGGCACGATTACCCGTCTTCGAACCACCATCTCATCGCCTTATAACGAGCATTGCCCATTCGAAAAGCACTTTCCGACGTTCCCGCCACCCCTCCATCCACCATGCCTACTATCCGCAACCCATTCGCCCGTCGCCCGGGTCCAGCAACCTTTACTCCAGACGACACCGCTCGCACAGATGGCGAGAACCCGTCGCATCCTGGCTTCGAGAAGCAGGACACCGTGGGCTCCAAGGCCTCGTCTTCGTTGAGCGTGAGAACATCCAAGAGCCAGGACAACGGCGAATACAAGATGAGCGTTGTCAACGATAGCGGTGTCTACCTCCCTGTTTGTTTGCACTTAATCTTCAGGCGTGCTTGAGACATCGCTAATGCACCTATGCAGCCATCTCCAACTGAGGAAAAGGGACTGTGGCCGCGCAAGTACCTCGGCTCGGGTCGCAACTCTACAGACACTCGCACCGACAGCGGCGAGATTGAGCACTTCTCCATCTCGAGAGAGTCTTTCGATTCCTACAGACGGTCTTTCGTGCGTTGCATCTATGCGAGGTTATCGTGACACTACCGCTGACCGCAGCTTACCTGCAGGACATCTCAGCACGCTCCCCAATCCCCCAGACCGATCTCCCCCAACGCCAGAGCCTCGACTCCGCACGATTCCCGCGCCTGCCTCGATCCGCGATTGACAGAAGGTCCGACAGGGACCTTCCCACTGCCGACGAGGGCTTTGAGGATGTCGGCCTGGACGACCACAAGCAACAGCCCAGCCGTAAGCGCGGCCTGTTCTCGCGCTTCGGTGACTCTGACCACAAGGAGCAGAGCGCTAATTCCCCAAACGCAAGTGTGACCCGCTTCCTGACCGGACGAAAGCGCGGACAGAGCGGAGGTCAGGAACTTGGCACAATCGACATTGAGCGACCAAAGTCAGCGGCCTCTGTCAGAACCACCGAAGTACGCTAATCCTGTGCGGCATTGTTTATTCGATTTGTACATACGATATCCTGTGCGAGATTTTGAACGGCGCAGGATCTTGGCGTTACTGGCTGGGTTGGGCCCTGGAAATGCGACGCATTCGCTATGACATGATTAGAGTTGGGCCAGCCCACGATCCGGCCGGGCTGGGCCGCATTATGCATATACGAGCGGCAAGAGTCAGGCCCGACAAAATGAGCTCGCCGTCTTCGAGGCTGGTTGTCTCGTGAATGAGCTCTTAATGATAATGATAACAGATACAACTTCACAGAATTGCGCGGACTTGCAACATGTGCGTGAATGAGAATGAGGATGAGATCGAGTGACGATAGGTGTGTGGCCGGGATAACCCCCTACGAATCACAGCATCAGAAGCTTTACGCCACGGAAGCTCAAGGGCGCAGATTGACAAAAGATCCGAATACCGGAGGCCCAGCGGAGTCGGACCGGCCAACGTTTCCCAATCGCTGCTTCGTTGTTTGACGTGATATCGCAAAGATTGCATCCCGCCATGCACTTGTCGCACCAGGACCCATTTTCTCGGGATTTGTTCACCTTCGTGAGACCCCACCTTCTGATACGTAATGGAGGGGCAGAGGAAATGCGCGAGAGGGAGAGAGAGAACCCCTCTGTCGCCGGTGACTGTTGTCATTGCATCCTTGTCAAACTTTCAGCTGTTCATCTATGGGGAATAAAAGTACTGCGGCTCCCAACACCTGTTCATCGTCGTAGATCATTGCCACTCTATGATCGAGTGAAACCTTACGCCCGGTCAACCGCCCATTCACCCCGCGACAATTTCTTCCAAGCCAGTGACAAAACTTGCCCCGCCATCCCATCCCATCCCGGACCAGCATTACAATGGCTGGTGACATTCCCGCCAACGGCACAGGCTCCGGCCCGGAGGACGGCATCCGCAACCTGTCACTCGCTACCCGCACCGTCCACGCCGACGATGGCATCAGCTCCCATCGCGCGGTTGCCCCGGCCATTCACGTATCGACGACCTTCAAGTACAGCGCCAACCCCGATGACCTCCGTCCAGGGAACAATACCGACGTGAGAGCCCTTCACTTTCTCATTTGAGTCCGTCCAGACTGACAAGTAGCCAGCCCAATGCGCCCGCCGACTCTCACGTCTACTCCCGCTACTCCACCCCGAACACAACCCGCTTCGAGGCCGTTCTCTCCTCCGTCCTCGGCGGGCCCTCTCTGACCTACTCCTCCGGCCTGTCCGCCTTTCACGCCATGCTCGTCTACCTTAACCCGAAACGCGTAGCCATTGGCGGTGGTTACCACGGCTGCCACGGTGTCATTCGCATCCTCACCAAGCTCAACGGCCTGAAGCAGCTCGAGCTCGACGAGGCGTCCCTTGACCAGCTCGAAGCCGGTGATGTGTTGCATGTCGAGACCCCGTTGAACCCCACCGGCGAGGCGCGTAACTTGGCGTACTATGCCGAAAGGGCGCACAAGGTTGGGGCTTATCTGACTGTCGATGCGACGTTTGCGCCGCCGCCACTGCAGAACCCCTTTGACTTTGGTGCGGATATCGTGATGCACTCTGGAACCAAGTACTTTGGTGGGCACTCGGATATGTTGTGCGGCGTGCTGGCTGTCAACCCGTCCCGCGCGGACAAGTGGCTTCGCGGCATGATTGAGGAACGTTGCTACATCGGAAGCGTCATGGGAGGCTTGGAGGGCTGGCTCGGTGTCCGGTCAATTCGGACGCTCGAGCTGCGTGTGGAGAGGCAGAGCAAGTCTGCCACCAGCCTCGTTCGCTGGATTGACGACGAGATCAGGAACAACCCCACCGGTGTCGTCGGCAGTGTCGTTGACAAGGTTGTCCATGCTAGTTTGCAGAAGGACGAATGGTTGAAGAAGCAGATGCCTGGCGGTTTTGGTCCCGTTTTTGCCATCTGGTTAAAGGATGCCGAGGACGCGAAGAGGCTTCCGAGCAAGATGGGGCTTTTCCACCACGCTACTTCGCTAGGAGGTGTTGAGAGCTTGATTGAGTGGCGGGCAATGAGCGATCCTGGCTGTGACAAGCAACTTCTCCGTGTTAGCATCGGCGTTGAGGCGTGGGAGGACTTGAAGGACGATTTGCTCCAGGGTTTCAAGAAGTTGGCCGAGGAGAAGAAGGTTTAGATGTAGATGGCCAGACACAGAACAGAATAGAGCTTTTTACGAAGAGAGGGGGCGCAGCAATCGTACTCTTACTCCAATAGTATTCCTACACCTTGTACTCAACGCTCCTGCTGGTCGTCGTCTTCGCTATCGTTCCCCGTCGTCGTCCGTCGTTATCTCCGCACTCTTCACAGCGGGATGTCCAACGATCCGTCCGCGTTCATGCATCCTCCCAGCTTGTACCTCGTGGACTCAAAGCTATAAGTATGTCAGCCATGTCTTGAAGAAAAGTAAAGTAGAGGGGGGACTAACGTAAACTGGATGCTTCCGGTGACCATGCACCGGCAAGCATCGCAGTACCTGAGTACCGCCTGCCGTCCCTCTCCCGCCGTCTCCGCAAGAGTGTTTGCGGCGCCTTCGAAGGTGGCGACGGAGACGGCGAGATCGGCTAGGAGAGCGTCAACCGCTTGCTGCGGCGACTTTCCCTCCTCCACCATGAGGATAGGGACGGCATTGACGATGCTCTCGTCAGCTCTGTCGTCCTTAGGCTATTGTATTTGTTAGCGAGGTATTCACATAGGCAGTGATCGCTTCAGTAGGTAGGTGTTGAGACGGGGAAAGGGCATAGGGGTCGAGGGTGTATAAGGACGTAGTGAAGGCACACACACGAGCCAGAGGGATAGGCAATATCGCAAAAGGTCTTCGAACTTGATGCTTTAGTTCGTTTGATCGTCTGATTCGATGCTTATGGCAGTTGCAGGAAGATGAATAGGAGGACAGGCAGTGCATAGCGTCAGAGGCTTCGAGGCGGCAAGTGGCCGTTGATTAGGTAGAAGGGTGGATAATTCGATGGAGGGGAAGAAAGGGGACGGCGGGAGCCGATGAAAAGGAAGCCCAGGAAGATGTGATCAGGGAAATTCCCAACCAGTGGAAGGGTTTGCAAGTAGTGGAACGGAGGGGTAGCCTACGAATTGGCAGGAGCGAAACTTACAATCTCCTTCTTGAGGGAGAGAATGTCGTTAGTTCTGTATTGATGTCAACGCTTTGCTCCCCGCCCGTTTTCTCTGCATGGGTATTAGGACCTACTTACATCCAAATACCTCTGCTCGTCTCTGCCCAGAGGGTCTGCAGTTCATTCATGCAGCGAATGTTCTCTGGGAAGCTCTCTCCCAGGCCGTACTCAATGAGAGCGCAGAGGGTCCAGACTGCCGCCGTTCCATGGCGCAACTCTTTGTAGGCCTCCATGCTGGGGAGAGTACCGCGCAGACGAAGACTTTGCTCTTCGTCGCAGTTCTCGATGTAGCGGCGCATCTGGTGCATGAAAGTCTGCCTTTGTTCTGTGTCTCGTTCAGCATAGAGTGTCCCTTACAAAGAGTATGAATTCTCCCACCAAAGTTGTAGGCCTTGCACAGCTCTGCTCCAATAGTAATCAACTCAGCATTCACATGATCGCACATGGTATTGTGAGTATTAGTGCTGGTAGTGCTGAGACCCAAAGCTTCGTTGAGTACACGGATGGTGTCGTTGCGATGTGTCTTTGCTCTCGCCAGATTGGCACTCAGGTCGCCACCCTGCTGATCAATGGCATCATCCCAACAGAAGAGCCAGACGATGTAGAGCGCAAGAGTTTGAATTTGGTTCTGGTCTGGATGTGGGTAATATCTTTCAAAGTAAGCCTCAGTCAGCAGTTGCAGAGTCTTTGAGAGGGTTGGTGATACTCACAGGCTCACAAATCTGGCGTAATTGGCTTTTCGGTATTTCTCTCGAAGTCCCGGGTTCCGGACCAATCTATTTAAATAATGTGTTAGTTATTTGTTTTTTGTTCTCTTCGTAGACAGGCAACCAACCTATCAAATGCGCTTTCGACAACAGGTATGATTTCCTTGTAGTTGGTGTTTGCGTCCACCGGCCAATCCTTGAAAATTTCCCGCAGGTCAGGGACGTGAAGAATCTCTCCGCGAAGTGCTCCCAGGATTTCCTGGGCTTCGGAAATCAGTGACCCCATCCTCTCCTTGCTGGAAAGGTAAGATCTTTGCAAGTCCAAAAAAAAATGATGGAAAAGGGGTGAAGCCCAGGTGCAGTGACCAAACTGGAATCCGCTCCTTTTTGGATGTTTGCTTCCCACTGTTGAATGGGATAATTACCGAGACACCCTTGTGAGAAAGCCCAAACAAATCTCAAGGCCTGTTTTCTTCGGCTGTCGAAATGGGAACTGGGCTGATGTTTGCTTGTCAAGAAGCCTGGTGCATTGGGGGGAGGGCTATTTGACCTCGCCTTGGTCTCGAGGTGGTGGGCTAGGTGAAGTGTCTGGGGAAGATCATTACTTGGGTATCGGGAAGATGAAAGACTTGGACGGAACGCGAAAAGTAACAATTCACCATAGTCACTGTCTTCTCCTGCAGGACTGCGATGGGCCTATATACCCAACTCTAGTCCCGTTGCCGTCACCCAAGCCCGGTGAAGGACCAAGTGGTCTAGAGGTATAACGCTCTGTATCGTTAGTTTGAACTTGGGATGAAATCTAAATATCAGGCTTCGTAGGGTCGCGGTTCAATTCCGCTCCCGAGCTTTTTGCTCATCGACTTTTTCGAGCTTCTAGCCACTCCCCTGCCAGGAGGAGCAAGGAGGAAACATTTTGCGGTCAGCTGAGAGCTCGCTCTCTCCAGAAAACCAAATACAAGGAGTTGGCTGTCAGGAGGATTTCCGTACGCGAGATGGAAAGGGGCTATGTCTCCTTGACTGATGTTGATGCGCGCTACCTGCCTTTGGTGCCCGTCCTTCCCGATGTCCTGGGTTCTGGTTTTCGTACCCCCTGTCTACTTCGGGCGTACTGAGAAGGAAGCGAGACAATGACATATACAGCACTTGTATACGGTATGGAAAGTACATGAATGCTGTGATAGACCTGTCAACTCGTGTTGGCAGAGGTTCACTTGCATCTCTCCGGATTTCATCCTTAGAGGTGGGAGTCGGTCGACCTTGGAATGTTACAGGCGACAAGGCATCCATCGCTTGAAGCTGGCTTCGACTAACAAAGGACTGGCTCGCTGCATGTCCGACACGGTAGGAGCATGTGACTCGACATTCTGCAGAATCTGCGGAGGCAGATACCCGAGGAATCGCCACGACCTCTAAGTTCTAGAGGCCAGCAGAGCGAACTTATAACATGACAGCCGCCGGCACTTTGTCTTCCAAGGATTTGCGGCTACTTACATCGTCTCACTGACATGGGTCTGCAAAAGCCAAGGTCCGAGACCATCATTGCATCCGCAAACCGGGTCTGCTCCCGGTATATTCATGTCTTGCATCTTACAAATTTACTAGTCCTTTCGTAGCATACTATCGTACAAGATCTACCTTGCCCCCGTCGTGACCTTGTAAACTATCGTTGACCTGCATGAGGCACCATGAACCACCCATTTCGAGCTTGCTCGGGGTTTCACCAAGCGATGTTGTATTCGGGCGCGCAATTTTATGGTTGGCACCTCTGAAACAACGATATCTGAACCATGCCTCATCAATCCTTGGGAGGCGGTATGTAACCATCGATCATGCCGCAACCCGCGACCTAATGCGGACTCAATGGGCCTTGTACTGCTCGTCCGCGTGTTGCTACACGCAACGTGGCTTTGCATTGTATTGTCAAGAATAACGGTGAAGGCACTCACATGGGCCGCACATCGGCGGCTCGGCGTGCTGCCGTCGAGACCAGCTCAGACATCAGACTCATCGGCCCTTTGAAGCCAGCGCCTAGACCGACGGAGACCCGGGGACGCACTAACTCCGTCAATGCCTGGGCGCCTGTGAGCTTGCGGGCTGAAGATGGACCCCGCGCATCTATGTCGTGATATTTGTATCTTCGCTGATGGTCTCATCTGTCGGTGTCAACCTCCTTTAACAACTCTGTCAAATTCATGATACGGTAGCCTCGTCGTTTCAACTCCGGCAGCACCTTCCGCAGCATCGGAATAGTCCAACTTCTCCTGTCGTGGCAGATTATGATGGCGCCTGGCCGTGCCATGCTTAAGATGTGTTTGGCGTTGAGCTTCCAATTGCTGATCTGAGCGTCATGGGGGTAAACGCTGCCCAGAACCATCCTGTAACCCAGCTTGTCGATCAGCCTCCGCATCCTGTCACTGAAGAAGCCAGAGCCTGGCCTGAAGTAGTTGGCCGGCATGGGTACATCCTCGTAGTCGTAAAGGTTCTTGATCTTCCGCCGCACTTCGAGTATCTCGGCCTCGAGCTGGCCAACCGGTAGCGACCGCGAGGCCTCGTCGTGCATGGCGTGGTTCCCTAGCTCGCTGCCAGCCTTGATTATGTCTCCCATATCATCCTCGTGACCATTCATCTGCGAGCCGATGAGGAAGAAGGTCGCGTGTGCATCGTTCTCCTTCAGGATCTTGAGGATCTCGGGTGTGTGCTGTGAGGGCGCGTCATCGATGGTGAGGCCGATGATCTTATCCTTGGTCTGGACCTGCCACAGCACGTCAGGCCATTTCCGTGCGAAATGGTTGATGACGAAAGCCGGGGGCTTGTAGACGATGTAGGCGGGGAGGACGAGAAGGAGGGCGAGAGCGAGGAGGAAGAGAAGGGTGGCCATTCGGTTGCGGCGCGCACGCCTCCGGAACTTGTTGGGAAATCTCAAGAGCGATATTCGTGCCATTGGCCTATGCGTTCACCTTCCAAGATGTTGTTGGAAGAGAGACGAGGTTGGCATTGTCGGGGACAGGTCGATATATCGAGGGGTGAAACGAAACGAAACGAAGCAGAGGCCGGCCGCACAGCTCTCTTAACCTCGACTTGGAGAAGGTGCAGGGGGTCGCGTTCCAGAGCTGCGCTGTGCGTGGTCATCTGTGGCTGACGTATCCGTACGCAGTACCTACCTTACCTCAGTGTCCTCACCGCGGGACATGGCGCAGTGGGGGTGTCGTGGCTGGAGCCAACCATTGCACACGGCTTTGGCATGCTTAGACCCACCTCGGCCTCCACTAAGGTTCAACTCAATTAAGCACTTCCCAACTTTCGACCGTTTATTCCAACCTCGAAGCTGCTATTCAACCAAAGTCCTTTTTCTGCTCTGCCGCGCCACGTCTTTGCCTGCACGAAATCAAGTTCGGTCAGTCACTAGCTGACCTTAACGGCTAGCTTCACTCCTGTGCCTCACCTTTTTTTGGCCGCCACAACCCCTCACTGCCTCCCCTCCCGCTCTAGGCTGCGACTGATACCACCAGCACAGCAACTTCAACCCAGGATGTGAGAACCAGGAACGGAACAGGAAGCAGCATACAGAAACATTTTATGCCATACCAGAATTGCTGAGGCCTGTCGATGGGGCCGCTCTGAACACTCTCCTCCAGAACACGCGGCAAACGACAGCCACTGTCTTCCATGCACGCACAGCCTGCGGCAAAGCCGATCGGCACTAATCAGCCTTGAGAGCATCGATGTGGAAGAATCCTGCCAAGTGGCAAGCATGAGCATCTTATTGGCAGCTTCGAGCTTTCATAGGCCTCCAATTTTCTCGAAAATGGGTCGAAGCCGACCCATCGAAAAATATACGATCGAGGTTATCGTGGACTGTCCGGTAGACCGGCAAATGTGGTTGCCTAGACATGTTTGCTACATCGCAAGACATCCAATGAGGGACACGGCACATTTTAGGGCACATGTATGCTCTGCTAGGTACTCGTCGTCACCGGTTTCTGATGGAATGTGATCCCAGTCTTGCTCATTGAAAACCAAAAAGCTGGCACGCTGATCGGCCACACGGTACACCCGTCAACCCACAAAGTCTCCATTGTGAGCTATTCTCGGTGCGCTAATCGCGCTTACCTTTCCCTTCTTATTCGACCTACGCAACTCAACTGTCCGCGCCACAGACAGCGGCAGACCTGCATAGACTGCTTTAGCCCTCAGAGTACGGCTTGCCCGGTGTGCGTAACACTTGCCTCTTTCCTCGCAGTCTTCGTTTGGTGATCGCCAATCTTCTCATCGAGAGAGTCATAGCCAGACGAAAGGTCTAACGGAATAGCCGGGAGGGCTGACGACCGTGGTGAGGGCCATCCTCGTGGATCCTTCCCACACTCTCAACCATGTATCCGGAGACAGGTTAAGGTTGTGGCAACCGAGCCACACGCGCAGTTCAGCCTCGCTCAGGCCTTGCTCTAACTCATCTGAGATGAAGCAGCTCTTGTGGGTCTCGACCAGGCTTCCAATCACTATTGCGCATGAGATCTAGTTTTAATGACCGCCGATGATGTACCTCCTGAGCTGCTTTAAAGATCCAGCCGTGGCCCTTGTTGTGGGACTCTTAAATGAGTCTTCTATTGTCAATGGATCCATTCTTCAAAGTCAAAGCTCGCGTTTTTATCAATGTGACGATTATCACTAGGAGCAATCAGGATTTCTCTATGTGCGGCTGTGCGGCTGCTGCATTAAGCAATCGGCAGAAAAGAAACAGAGACAATACCAACAATATCCCACCCTGCGAACTTGTAGCAAAGAGGCCAAAGTTACTTGGCATCACTATCAATACCAGCGATGACGAATTCGACCTACTTTCCTATGACAAGAAGTCACCCGAGGACCGTATTTTGGACGACGAGGACATTGCGTGTTGGCTGGAACAGCAGAGTCGCAAATCAGCTACAGCAGGCGTCCTTAAAGCTATCAATGAACTGGCCAAAGGACTTGAAGCTACGCCTGGGTCGAAATCAACGTTGCCCATGCGAACCGAAACTCCTATGGCCACCAGCGAGACCTTATCGGGTAAAACGACACTACAGCCTGATTCGGCGCAAGCATCCAACCTGCCATGTATTCTCCGAGGAGTTGGGGCCTTTGCAGACGATGCCTCCGTTATACCCGCGGATTCAACTACAACGGGCAGGAAGAAGCGGAGGCCATGGTGGGTTTGAATTCGCTTGCTGCATCATACTCAACTAACAAACGTCAGGATGAGGAAGAACCGCAGACCAATCGTAGGCTGGGACCAGTTATGGCTGTGACGACTGCGCAGGCGTACTCGGATCGGCGGTCAGTCAAATGAATGATCTATGACAAAAGGCGCAAGTAAAGGCGATTGTGAAGATACCCTTGGGTTCTGGTCTCAAGTACATTCGACACGGAAAAATGGTGCATAGGGCGTTCGTATTCAGCATCCGAGTTTATTAGATTTCCTCTCACATTAGACGTTTTCCCTACTTTTGCTGTGTATTGATCGCCCCTACTAGGTAGCACGTCGGTCCAATTGAGCCGGCCCCGAGGTTTCCGAGTCCTAGTGGCCGGCGCGCCGTTGTGTGCCCCGAAACGCCGGGTCTGAACTCTGGACGCCCCCGGGACGCCGGGTCTCCCGTGCGTGGAACTGCCATCCAGAATAACTGGGTGGTTGCCGACAGAGTTTGCCACGGAAGGGAGACCCCCGTGGCAAGAGCTTCACTTGGCTGACATCCCAAGTACGCGCACACACAAGTTGTGGAAGATGCGACGAACAGGGCCTGGACGCAGAACTCTGTTGGGTGTATCATCGAGCTGTCTCCCTTGTGGCGGATCCCACCACTGCCTCATGCCAATGTGATCATTGAAAACTAGGTGGTGTCAGCTCCACTTCGGAGCGTCCTGGCTCTCCGACGGCCTCGATGTCAACGAAGACTTCACCAGTAACCAGTATCACCTTTGGTCTAGACCACGAAGTCACGAGAGCAACGACGGAAGACGTCCGGGAGCGCCCTACGGGATGCCAACCTCTGCAGCATAATCGTTCCCCCTTTATCCATCTGTCAAGCTCAAAAAAAGACGACATCCCGACCTCTGATCAAACACCCGCTTCGGGGATCGACAGTTCTCCCTCTCGCTTGTCGCCTGCATCGTCATGCGGACTGTGGAGAGGGGGTGGTGGAGGGGTCACCCTGGCCGAAGATCAAACAAACACTGTGGACACCACCACCGCTTGTTTGCTTGGGATGTCGGCCCTCCCTTGCGTCTCCCCAATTCAGCCAGCCAGCCCTCTCTTTCATGAACAACGATGGGGGCAGGGGTTCTATTTCATGTCTGTGCTGGCGGAGAAGAGAGGAAAAAAGGCGAGATCCGATTGAACGTCACCTCTGAATCAACCACGATATCCACTTTCTCATGTTAATGAACCAAATGACGTCCCCTATTCAACGAAGTTACTCAAGACTCTTCACTCGTTGCTTTTTTGTGCAGTCGTCATGGCTACCTAATATGCCATCTTTCCAACCGGTCCGTTATCCGAAATACCCTCCAGCAGCTTGTCTTGCAAATGTGAGCCCTGACCAGATTGTCTGATACCCAGCCTCTCTCTGCGATGTGTTTTGCGTCTTGGTGGTGAGATTCATGGAATGAATGTCCGAGAAGCCAATGGATGGCTGGCGCTCCTTAGTCTTTACCTTGAACCCAAAGGTCTGTCACATGGCACTATTTCGATGTTGCAATCGACAATCGCGGGACCAAGGGCCCCGGCAGATGCATTCAGCCAGAAAACCCCCAAAAGCTCCGGTGATCAGCCCTTTGCCGTCCACGCAAACGGGACTTATGCCTCCGCGCGCCCCCCGGACCCCTCTTCTTCCCTTTCGACGGCTCCAATCGTTGCAAACCACCAAAAGGCGGCCTTCACAAGTCTGATGACATGTTGCGCGTCATGCTGTCGATGGCGTCTGCATTGAATCGGCTCACTCAATAGGCACAAAATAGGCGAAAAAGTGAAATGCATGAGAGAAAGAGAGACAATCAATCCCCAACCTGCCGATCCTGCCGCCTTTGAGACGGAACCCGGCACCACTTGACACAAGTCATCTTCAACCTCCCCCGCCGCCGACAATTACCACCAATTACACTACGGATACATTGGCTGTCGTTCGCATCGGCCCCGGCAACCACTTTCACTTTATTCTTTCGCCTCCAACTGCCGTAGCATCGTCATCCCCCACGCATGGAATATTATGCGTCGCAGTCTAGAACAAGGGAGCAAAAAAACACAGGCGGAAGGAAGCCGAGGCGAACGTGCGTGGTCGTAGTAGCTAGCAGGGCAAGGGAAAAAAAACCAACAGAGAAGGAGAGCAAGAGTGCTAAAGTTGGCCCGTCACCGGATGGCGCGTCGGCACTAACGCAGAGCCTCGGCGGCGCTGTCTCTGATAGCTTGGCCCAGGTCGTGAAGCTACCGCTCAATAAGCTTAGTAGGCCGAGCAAGGTCCCTCGTCAGTGTCCGTCCTCACAGTAACGTCTTTGCGTCTCCTCGTTCTCCTCTGGGCCTACTGGCTGTGCGTCAATACACACCGTTCTCGCCAGTCTGTGTTGGGCTCTGCATATTGTGATACTAGAGATGGCTTCATGTCTGCCCTGCTTTGGCGTCAGTGCTTGTTTATCGGATGAACCGTGTTCAATCAGAAGATAGGATGGCTGCTGCAACGCACGGATGAGCTGTGAGCTTGACACACAACAGAGACAAACTCTGAAAATCAAAACACAACATCACCGAGATGGCTGAAGAATCACAACATGTGCGTTGGGGAGACAAATGAGATTTTGCTAGTTATCAATAAGCAATAATGTTTGAGCCGCCGTTCAAGGCGCTCGGGGGAATATCCGCACGTCATTCAAAGGTATATACACAGAAACGCCAATTAGCCCAATATGTAGTGGGCGTTAGGATACCAAACAGAGCATTTCCCTCCATCCCGATGTTCGTCCGCTCCAAGTGAAGGTTTCCTCTCTCTGCTACAAAAGAAAAGTCCATTTTTGTCTTTCATCATCGCCCTTAGGGTGTCCCGTAGTGTGTAAGAAAATAACCGAGGTCGTGGTCCGGTTTGCTTATTTCAATTATGTACAATGAACAAAGCAGGTCAAATCGCTTCGATTTCCGAGTGAATCAGATCCACGCGGCAGCCATTGCTCGTTGGGGCGCGTGGCTGTGGCTGGCGGGCTTGTCGTGGAAAAAGCTGTTGAAAAGGCTCTGGACTTCGGAAAGGTAGTCCTCGGCGGCGAACTTGCAGAGACCTTGAGCCTTGAGGACGCGCTCCTCCTCATCCATGACGCGGTCCTTGATGCCAAACTCCTCCGCAATCTCCGTAACCTGGGCCAGCTCACGGCCAAAGGGATGCGACTCGACCGGCTTTTCTTGTCTGGGCTGCTGCTGCTGCTTCTGCTGCTGCTGCTGGTGGTGGAATGCGGGGCTTGGCATGGGCGGTACAGGAGTCTTGGGAGTCTTGGGAGCGGCGACGACCGAGTTGTGAGACATGGTAGATGCTGCGCTTGAGCCTGATGACGCGCGAGAGGAGAACGTCATGCTCGCCTTTGTCGAGACAGTCTTGTCAGAGGCCTTGGACAGGCTGGACATGGAGCGCTGGCGTGCCATGGCATCGAAAGAGGCCTGTTTCGTGTGCGAAGGCGCACGCCTGGGGATCTTGGGGACCTCAGGAATCGTGGCGGGGTTGACGGCATGGTTCGGGGCGACAAAGTAGCAGGACAAGTGGTTCGGCTCGGGAGACGAGGAGCGTTCGTGAGGCGCAACGTCGGGGCTGGTCGGGGGCGACGAGGCAGCAGTGTGAGCACCCTCAGAGTCCTCCTCTGACGACTTGGTTGACGAGTTGCTTGACGAAGTGGTTCGGGGACGGATATCAGGAGCGTTGTAGGAAAGCATGTTGGTAGTGTGGACAAGCTCCATGGGAGCAGAGATCTTTGCTCTGGAAGGCGCCTTGGTGGTCTTGCTTCGCGAGATGAAGTTGTTGCTGCGCTCCTTCCCGCGAGCGGCGTCAGAGAGATCGATGCTCTGCTTCACCCGGCGGGTCGTGAAAGCTCTTGAGAGTGACGACATTTTGGTCTTGTGTGTAAGATCTCACCCGGCGAGGTGTTGATAAGAGCAGAAGAGTGGGCGGAGTTGGGGGATAAGTAGGTAAGCTTGAGTTGAATTGTCGCGGGACGCAAGCGCCTGATCCGGTAACAAGGGCCTTGGGGTGCAGTGATGGACTGCGACAGACGGCAGGTGGGTGGTGACGAAGTGGTGGTGACAGGACTTGTGATTGGGCCTGAGGCCTTTATTGGCAGGTGCGGTGGATCTACTGCTGCACGACAGTTGCAGTCAGGCGGGTAGCAGAAGAAGGGTGCCGAATAGAGACGAAGGGCAGGCTGTCAATCGGTGAGAGGGTCTGCCGACTTAAAGAGTGAATGTGAGGGTGTGAGGTTGAGTCTGGTGTGTCGGTGATGCGAGACAGATGATTAGATGACGGCCGGGCCGTGACGGATTATCCTGCGCAGGTTGCGTTGTGTTGATATCTGTGCGAGAGACAACAGCACGGGTGAGGAGTCCAGTCCTGGAGGTACTTTTTAGGAAGTACGAGAGTTCGGCGTCGATCCGGTTGAGAGTCGTTTAGGGTTGGGTGTCTGAGTGCAGAAGAGAACGTGTGTCTTGTGACTCGGTCTGTGAGTCGGTGTAATGACTGTGAGTGGTACAGGTCTGATCGACCTGTGTGATGAAATGATGAGGTCTCTCTCTCTCTCTTTTTCTCTCGTGTGGGTGCAATGTAAGGACGGTCGGTTTAGTTGTATATCCAGCCGAAAAGGAACGTTCAACGTGTCGTGCAACAAGCGGTGGGTGGTGGAGATATTTCCTGGTGATTTTCGGCGTTTGTTTGTTTGGGGAAAATGTTCGAGCCCGCGACAAGTCGTTTTAATATCTCGAGTATCTGTGCTCCGGGGGTTGGAGGTGCAGACGATAAAACGCACAAGAATAGAAAGACACACCGCAAAGGGAGCGATGGGGTGTGGGTGTGGGTGTATGTGTTAGAAGAGAACGACGAAAGGGAGAGATGGTGAATCTTCTTCCTCGAACCAGAACCAGAACCAAGAGGGTGGGAGAGGTTGAAGAAGGGAAGAGAGACGAGCGGAGCGGGCGTGTAGAGGGAACACCCAGAGTAATAATTGAATATTGCGGGTGCACCACGAGGCAAAGGGCAATCAATATCGGGGACGAGGACTGGCCCTGCAGACCACGCACTGGTCGGTGGTCTTTCTCCTCCTTCTCCTCTCGCCTGGTCTGGTCCAAATGGAGTGGTGTTCCCAGTTCCTAGTTCCCGACCTAGCCTACCTAGCACCGCGACCCAGGTCGAGTGGTCCTGGCCATGGATGAATGAGTGTGGTCCACGCCTCCCACCTGGGGGATGTCGCTCTTTGATTGCCCTACGACCCATTTTGGTTGGCCATCGTCGAGGTCCCTCGCAGCCGGGGGGGAGCCCATTGGAGCCAACCACTGAAGACGTGCGCTTCCAGGTTGCGAACTGGCGCCATCCTTGCCGTCCACCCGTCCTTCCTTTTCTCGCGCTCCCCCTGTCCTAGGTAAGGTAGCCTGGCAACCTGGTAAGTAAGGTCACGGTGCAGAGCAGGGGTACAGTGGGACTTGGTAATCAAAACGGGTAAAGGTTCCTGATGATTCACAGTGTGAACGCTGGCCGCCCCACTGACGCCTCGCCTCTTTTTTAACGCCAGGACCCCTTTCGAGCCGTCGCTGCACCAATGACAGCTCGCGTTTGGACCAACCCCTGGCTCCTTTCCTTTTTCTCTCCTGCAAGCCCTTTTGGGTGTGGCCGGGCATCGTCGGTCTCGCTCCTCTTCGTCCCGTCCACGGTCGTGGGATGTGACATCGACACCCGACGGCGACAGCGAGCGGCAGCGGCAGCGGCAGCGGTAGAGACGACAGCAGAACCTTCACCACTCCATTCCGCCAAGAATCATTTTTCAACGCGGCACGACTCACAAGAACTTGGTGGTGGGATGGATCGACCAAACGACACCCACCACCCTACGAATACCTCAAACTCCCCAAACCGCCGTCGACCAGTCGAACCGCCACCAAGGGGCATGCCGTGATCGCCTTCTGGAAGAATGCCCGGCACCGTCAGACAAGCCCAGCCGAGACCAGTCCGGCGCATCACCCGCTCCCTTTTGACAAGTCATCGCGCTTTTCCAACTTGAACCGTGTCTGCCTCCTCCATTGGATCCTCCATCCGCGACATCATCGTCAGGCCGACATGTCCGGATACACCACATCAGAGATACAGCACACTCGCCCTCTGCAGATGTTCATGTACTTCGACGGACGCACGTACTTGCTACGTCGTCGGGCTGCGACCGCCATGTGTTTCCAGCCGTGACATATCGTTTGCAGTACAGCGAAACATGCGCTGAGCTCCTGCTTGTCGCACATTAGAATCTCGCAGAGAAACGGCGCTCAATGAGCACATGTTGTCGACGCTTCCCTGGGGAAACCTTGCCTCTTCGTCAGACTGTCGCAAATTCATGTCCGAATTGCCCACCGATCCCACCATCAAGGCAACATTCGAAGAGGGACCGGTACTCCTCCGGCCTCACACCGTCCACCGTCCACCGGCATCTTGGCCAACAGTTCATGACCCATGGGCCCCGACGGTCCCGACCCGTCTAGCGACTCGCACCGCACGCAAATCCTGGAAGAAGATTGTGCGATTCAAGATGGGCGAGCCGCGGGCCCGCGGCGAATCGTCAGCTTGCCAGGTTTCTCCGGGAGGGCCCATCCATGCACAGTGTGATATGATCCGCCAGGACGGACCTTTGGGCTCTGGGTTGTGTGGGCTTCTTGCCTGTTGGATCAGTGATTGGGGTCGACGCCTCCAAGTCAGAAGGGCGTCAAGCAAAAACGCCAAAAAGCCGAAAAAGAGATCGTGGCCGGCCGTTCCCAATAACTCGCCGACCGGACGAAGACTGAGGCGTCATTGGCTGAGTGTTCCATCCGCCATCCTCGCCCGTTGGCAGGCCCCCCTGAAGTTTCAGCGTTTCACACTGCGCCATCCCACCCTGGTGGCGCTGTGCCTTGCGTGCCTGCGCAAGCGGCGCAGGGATCCTTGTCGACGAACCCAGCCAGCACCCGAGGTGCCAGCGACGAGACTGGCTCACCAACCCCATAATGCTCCGTTTCCCTTGCGCATCTCCCAGGGGGATTCGCCGGTGGTGGTGTGGAAACCAGGCGATCAGGAATCGATTTTTTCACCTTGTTTCTTGGAGGAGGCAATGGCCCAGATGCCGCTAGAAATCCCTCAACAACGATATCGCCGGTTGTGGGCTGGCAGTCGAGTCTTGACATTGGGTTATCACGACTCCAACTCATAAGTGTGTTGTGGTCTGGTTCGAGACTCGAGCGAATGAACACATCGCGAACAGACCACTGCGAACGCGAGCAAAGGGCAATGTCCGGCCTTGGCTCATATGCCAGATCGATTAATGGCCCACAGTCTCCTCCTTCATCAAGAGCGCATGAATATGTCAGGTTGCTGCCGCTCCCCCCTCCACAGCTTTTCAATGCTTAATTAGGCCCGTCCTTCGTTCACGATTTCACGAACGATGCATCTCACATCAAACCGGCCGCATCACCTTCAATGCTAGTGAGGGCCGCGCAGTCGCGGTTTCATCCAACAGCTTACCAGCGCACATATATCATCCTCCGACGAGTCGTTCCTCACCAACTGTTTTCCCGGTTTGAGCCCATCGTTTGGCAGCCTTGGCTTTCTCTCTTGACGAAACTCATGTGGTCTATGCTTACTACTGTTCAGACGACGGCATTAAACTTCAGACGATTTCAGATCAAACTCCCGCACTTGAAATGCTCTTCTCCACCGCAAAAACGTCTTGGCTGCCAAATTCCTCCACTATCCTAAACGACGCCGTTCCGAAGTCGTCATCATCGGAATACTGTTTTCGGCTACCACTGACTAAAGCGGCGTCGGGGAGATGCTCGGCGTGCCATTTTGACCCATCCAGCCGAGCCGCCAGAAAATTCTCCTGGCGATCTTCCGCTGTACTTGCATATGGAAACTGCTAACGAAGCAACATGTGAAGGTTACGCTCAGTCATTATTTGTTTTTTTGGCCCTAATCCTCATCCTCATCCATTGAATCGCCATCCTTCTCACCGTCCTCATCATCTCCCTCGTCCTCGCTGTCACTGCTGTCGTCTTCCGCGACACCCACCAGCCTGTCCTCTTCGGCGCCCTCTGGCTTCTGGGGAACACGCTCGGCGAAGGCATGGCGCACGCCAGCGTTGGTGCTGGTGTCCCACACGTGCATGGTACCGCGGCTGCCAGCAACGGCAAGTCTGAAAGCCACCTCGGGATCCGGAGCAAACTGTGTCGAGAACACCTTGCCAACATCTAGATTGCGGGATACCACCATGGACGGTCCCGAAGGCTGAATGTTCCACAGCTTCACGGTCTTGTCGGTTGATCCGGTGGCCATGAAACCAGGCACCACAGGGTTGATGTCGAAGGAAGAGACCGACTCATCGTGTGCCTGCAGGGTCCAGATGGCCTTAGTTGCCTCGGGGGTTGCTGGCGCATTACGGACGTCGTGGTAGTGAATGATACCGTTCTCCGTAGAGACGTAGAAGTAGTTTGCGTCATGGGGGTCCCACTTGATGTTCTCGACATCGCTTTCGACACCCCATCTGGGCACCTTGGCGTCAGGAGCTCTCATATCGGCGGCGACGACTGTTCTGTCGTAGCTACCGCTCAGCAGAACGGTAGACTCGACGGAGTGCCATGCCAGAGAGCAGACCTTGTCAGTGTGGTAGGCGTACGACTTGGCGCACTTAGCCGTGTGCAAATCCCAAAGCTTGACCGTCTTGTCGGCCGAGGCGGACGCCAGGAGGTTTCTGTGCTTCCTGTTGGCGGCGAGGGCCAGGACGGCATCCACGTGGTACTCATCGTTGGCCTTGGCCTTCTTCTTCTTCTTCTTCTTCTTCTCCTCGGAACCCTCTCCGGCCTGTCCCAGGATGGCGTTGGGGTACATGCAGTCCACCGTATCAAGATCCCAGACCTCAATGTCGGGGTCCATGGTTCCGACGGCGACAAAGTTGGCGGTTGAGTCCTTGTCGATGCCAGCTTTTTGCACGGGAATATCGAGCCACTCGACGCAGAGGGGTATCGCGGGGAGCATGATGTCGTGGTGAACGTAGAGGTTGTCGGCGGCGTCCTCGTAGACATAGACCTCGAGGTGCGCCATCTCGTCCTCGACCTTGGCCGCGAGCAGCAGGTTGTCGGTCGCGAGGATCTGGAGGTCCTCACGGTCCTCGTCATCGTCGTCGCCGCCATCGTTCAGGGTGATGTACGGGTCCTCCTTGTTGGATTCGTAGTAGGCAAGCGACTTGACGTTGCCAAACATGGCCATGCCCTCACCCTGGCCGACCTTCTCCTCGTCGTCATCCTCGTCGGTGTCGTCGTAGTTTTCAAGATTGTACTCCTTCAGGTCCTCGTCGTTGATGTCGATCCTACAACTCGAAGTCAGCGGCACAGCCCCTCATGCAGAGACTTGGAGCGCGAGGGAACCAACGTTTCCTTGTCAGCCGGAGCAGCGTCCTTCGCAGATGCTGCAGCGTTCTCCTCCTCTTGTGCTTCCTTAAGGTCCTCCTCGGCATCGTCCAGCTGCAACTTGGCGAGTTCTGCTATGCGCTCGAACTCTGCCTCGTCGAATGTGTATTTGGCGGGGAAGGGTGCCGCGAAGCCTCGGGGCACCCAGGTAGACGTTGTGATCATGGACATCTTGGAGAAATGTCCGACAATCGGGTATCTAGTGCGCGATTAGAATGCGCAACGGAGACTGTACAAATGCAAGTCGGTGGGATACCTAATTGTGGAAGAAAAAAAAACTGTCGAGACTGGTCTGCATGTTAATGCCTGCGACCCAACTGCGAGCGCAGGAAAAAAAAATTCGGCCGTTGGTGGGGTTTATCTTATCGTGTTATCGATAAATGACATCGCATTTGAACCTCACATAATGGTATGCCCGATACCAAGACAAATCCCAACTCCGCAGTCTGTCCACATTCCAATGGTAATCATACTAATCCCCCAAGGCACTATCTTGTGTATTGCTTATTCTGAGTTTGACTTGCCGCTGAAGATGGAACGACAAAACACTCTGCAAGAACTCTGTCGAACGATGCAACCATTGCTGGACGAATCTGCACGAGACAAGCCTGTTCATAGCTTGCTAGCTTTGTGACATCTTCAGCGTCTTGAAACCATTACTTTCCTTACTTGTTATCTCTTTTGTAGTACGGGGTAATATGTTCAAGCTTCAAGCACATCCGGTAGACAGACCGATGGCAACCGCTTAGGAGGGTATGTGCCGGATAGTTGCATATTCAAGACCCACCTCTAAGCTTTGTTTACTTCGTGACATGGTTACCAACCTTGCTGTCTTCGTCTTCGCATCATCCATCCTTCCCGCGACGACACCGACAACGACGAGATGTACGATAATAGAGATGGATCGGCGGCGCCAAGTTTCAAGCGCCGAAGGCTTGATGGAGGCAGGTTCCAGGATTCAGGACGTTCAACGCCTCGCGACTCGCGCTCGGCCGCTGCCTCGACTCCTTCCAGGGACGTGAACGACGTACCACCGCCGACCGACGAAGACTCCAAGGCGCTGGATCGCGACTGGTATATGGGCGATGAATTTGGCGGTCATGTGTTCGGCGACGACACGCACAACCCGTTCGCGGACTATTCGGCATGGGAGGCGCAGAAGCAAGAGGAGATCAAGGCAGAGAAGATGACGAGCAGATTCGACGCTCGGAGGGAGCAGAGGAATAGGGAGAATGACGCTTGGGAGACGAACCGGATGCTGGTGTCAGGAGTTGCCCAGCGAAGAGACATGGGAGCCGACTTCGATGATGAGGAAACCACGCGAGTTCATCTTCTGGTCCACGACCTTAGGCCGCCGTTCCTCGATGGCAGGACAATCTTCACAAAACAGCTGGAGCCTGTGCCCGCAGTGCGCGACTATCAGAGCGACATGGCGGTATTCAGTCGCAAGGGAAGCAAGGTGGTCAAAGAGGCTCGGCAACAGCGCGAACGACAGCGGCAAGCGCAGGAGGCGACAAGCATGGCTGGCACGGCGTTGGGGAACTTGATGGGTGTTAAGGAAGACGACGGCGACAGTGCTCTCCCAGTTGCGTCAGAGGAAGATGCCAAGAGGGGCGGCGAAGGCAAGGGTGAGGAGGGTGGCAATAGCAGCAGCAACAAGTTCAGCGACCACATGAAAAAGGACGAGAACGGCGGAAGCAGCGACTTCAGCCGAAGCAAAACGTTGCGCGAGCAGAGACAATATCTTCCCGCATTCGCTGTTCGAGAAGACTTGATGCGCGTCATTCGAGAAAACCAAGTCATTATCGTGGTTGGCGAAACGGGTTCTGGCAAGACGACGCAGTTGACGCAATTCCTGCATGAGGACGGCTTCGGCAAATCGGGCATGATCGGCTGCACGCAGCCAAGACGTGTCGCTGCGATGAGTGTCGCAAAACGTGTCTCCGAAGAGATGGAGGTCAAATTAGGCAGCACCGTGGGCTATGCGATTCGTTTCGAAGATTGCACTAGCAAAGACACCGTCATCAAGTACATGACTGACGGTGTTCTGCTTCGAGAGTCACTCAACGAGCCTGATCTTGACAGGTACTCCTGCGTTATCATGGACGAAGCCCACGAACGCGCTCTGAATACGGACATCCTGATGGGTCTGTTCAAGAAGATTCTCCAGAGACGGAGAGATCTGAAGCTCATCGTCACCTCTGCAACGATGAATGCCAAACGCTTCTCAGACTTTTACGGCGGGGCTCCAGAGTTCATCATCCCTGGAAGAACATTCCCAGTCGATGTCATGTTCCACAGATCACCGGTTGAAGATTACGTCGACCAGGCAGTTCAGCAGGTTCTTGCGATTCATGTATCGATGGATCAAGGAGATATTCTCGTATTCATGACAGGTCAAGAAGATATCGAGGTCACTTGCGAGCTTATCCAACGACGACTGGACGCACTCAACGATCCACCCAAGCTCAGTATTTTGCCGATTTACAGTCAAATGCCTGCAGATCTGCAAGCCAAGATCTTTGACAGAGCAGCGCCTGGGGTGCGCAAGTGTATCGTGGCTACCAATATTGCCGAGACGAGTTTGACTGTCGATGGTATCAAGTACGTGGTTGATGCAGGTTATAGCAAGATGAAGGTGTACAACCCGAAGATGGGCATGGACACCCTTCAAATCACCCCGATCTCGCAGGCAAACGCATCGCAAAGATCAGGTCGTGCAGGCAGAACAGGCCCCGGCAAAGCGTTTCGTCTCTTCACAGAGAAGGCATTCAAGGAAGAGCTTTACCTGCAAACCATTCCTGAGATCCAGCGTACGAATCTGAGCAATACCGTGCTCATGCTAAAGTCGCTTGGTGTCAAGGATCTCCTAGACTTTGACTTCATGGATCCGCCGCCTCAGGACACTATCACGACATCCATGTTCGACCTCTGGGCCCTTGGCGCGTTGGACAACCTGGGCGAGCTCACTCCACTGGGCCGCAAGATGAGCGCGTTTCCAATGGATCCTTCCCTTTCAAAGCTTCTCATCACTGCTGAGGAATACGGTTGCAGCGAGGAGATGATCACCATCGTATCCATGCTGTCTGTTCCCAATGTCTTCTACCGCCCGAAAGAACGCCAAGAAGAAGCAGACACACAGCGAGAAAAGTTCTGGGTTCACGAGTCTGATCACTTGACCTACTTGCAGGTGTACTCGGCGTGGAAGTCGAACGGATGCTCAGACGGATGGTGTATCAAGCACTTCCTTCACCCCAAATCGCTCCGTCGCGCCAAGGAGATTCGGGACCAGCTCCTCGACATTATGAAGATGCAAAAGATGGAAATGATCAGCTGCGGTATGGATTGGGACATCATCCGCAAGTGCATCTGCAGCGGCTACTATCATCAGGCGGCCAAGTACAAGGGCTCTGGCGAGTACATCAACCTCCGCACCAACCTCGGCGTTCAGTTGCATCCAACCTCGGCGCTGTACGCCGGTCACCCACCAGACTACATCATCTACCACGAGCTCATCCTGACGTCGAAGGTGTATGTGTCGACCGTCACCGCGGTCGACCCCCACTGGTTGGCTGATTTGGGCGGTGTGTTCTACTCAGTCAAGGAAAAGGGGTACTCGGTGCGGGACAAGCGGATAACGGAGACTGAATTCAATCGCAAGATGGAAATCGAGGCAAAGATGGCCGAGGACAAGAAGAGGGAGGAGCAGAGGTTGGAAGCTGAAGCAGAGAGGTCAACGAAGACGAAGGTAACGAGTACATCGACCAACGGGAAGAAGATTGTCACGCATGGGGCCGTGAGAAAGCCCGTTATTAAGCGTAGAGGCAGAGGCGTTTAGAGCGTTAATACTTTTGGGCGAAAATACCAGCAATAGAAATGGAGCTTGACGACCAATATTTTACGTCTGCGGAGCTCTCCTGAACTTTCTTTGCTTTGATTGAAAGGTGTCAGTGAATATCTAGTTGGTCGTTGGATTTCCTTTTTCATGCTGAATGTAGCGAACATATCCAAACTATCAGACTGAGTTATGACTGACGATTCTTTGCACAATTGGATCACTATCTCGAGCGAATCGCATAGCCGGGCTTAGTGGCTTTTTGTTTCAAGATTGTATGCAAAACTATATTCGTTACTTCTGTTTTTTTCCTAGGAATGTTATGAGAATGCCTCGTCCAGCCTGTTTTCTGAGGGTTACCAGCTTTCATGGATGAGCGCCTCACCGCCGAACCAGAAAGCCCTCTTCTCCGTCGACCAAGACACGGTCCTCGTGGTCAAGCTTGACGACCCTGGCCGACCTTGGACCGTCGTCAATGTCCTTCAACAGCTTCTTCAGCGCGTCTTCTTCGCCTTGCGCCTCGCCCTCGACCTGCGGGCAGCATGGTTAGTCTCTTCAAACTTGAACATCATGTTCCCGTTTACTAGAGAAGATTGGTGCTCGTCGGCCTATTGATGCAAATTTCGACTTACCTTATTGTTATCCGTGTTACGACACCATCCCGTCAATCCATACTCGCTTGCACGCTTCTGCGTAAAATACCTGTTTTCATGTATGCACAGTCAGTCTCGCCATTCAAGCATTCTTTGTCATCGGTGTCGATTTCGCCAAAATTGGGAATACGTTAAATGTTGGGGGGGTTTTCATCACGAACCGAAACCCGACACCTAAGTGTGACGTCAGTGACGATGGAGCTTCGACGATGCTCGCTTCCTCCTTATCCAGGAACCGCGATAATAGCTCGGAGCTCATGTGGAGGAAGGGGAGGGGTCAAGACGTACCTTGTACCACGCCGCCGTGTGCAAGAAAATATATCTGAAGAGAAGGAGAAATGTCAAAATAAGATTGAGCCTGACACTGACGGGCGACTCACTCTTTTAGCCATGATGCTCTTCTATTCAAATATTGGAGTGTGTCTTGACATAGAAAATTCCGAATGAAATGGTTGTAGACAGGTAGGTCAAAAGTAGCTCGGAGCTCTCTAAAGCTTGACATTCCTGTGGGGTCTGTATCATGTACCGATGACATGCATTCCTGCCTGTGCCTGCCCGTTCCCCATGTGTTATCGATAGTAATTACGCGGCTAAAGTCCGGAGCCAATCACCCCCAGCGAATTTGTGAACCCTCTTGCGCCTCGTTTCTCTCCGCCACTGTATCTCTGCCTCGTCCACGCATCAACAATCACAACAAAGCTCGCTTCATTCTCAGATTTCACATCCAAAGACCTCATCCGGTTCTCTCGAATCGCTCGGAAAATGGCCTCACCCATGGAGTCCTCAGCAGCCGACCCTCCAACAGTCCTCTTCCGCGCAGGCAAGAAGCGCAAAGCCGGCTTGCGCCAACGCGCCGCATCCCCCGAAGAAACAGCAAACGCCGCCGCCGCTGAATCGAAGCCGACGACAACGGACCCGACTTTGCAGCCGACCGAGACGGCATCCTCAAGGACGGAACTCGATATCTCAGATAAGGAAGCGACTGAGGCCATCCCGTCAACATTGCGCCACCGCGCGCGCAAACGTCTCAACGGCGTCGGGTTCTCGGCCCGCGCGACGTCCGGCCCTTCAGAAGACTCGCCCGCAGCAGACCTCTCACCATCCCGCGCTCTTGTGCCCGCAACATCACAACCTGACGATGATCCCCTGATCGCAAAACGCTTTGCCCCGCAGACGGGTCTGGCGACCACCATTGTAAACAAACACATGTATGTATTCCCACCAAGCAACCCGCTGCGGTACATCCAGGCCCTTTGCCCAGAGACTGATCAAGCAAGGATGGAATACATAGAATCCCACCTCTCTAACCGCAACCCCTCCCCCTCCGCGGAGACAACAGCACATACCTCATCGTCGCTTTCCTCCACCGCCCCGGCACCCGTCGCGGGGAACGACAAAAAGGCACAACCCATCATGCAAGGGAAGCTCATGGAGGTCGATCTGGGCGACGAGGTCCGCGCCCGCAATCAGGCCATGACCGAAAAGGCCGCCCGACGTCTGTTGGGCGAGTCTGTACCTGACGAGGAGCCCGAAGGCGGACCGCGCAAGGCAAAGAAGCCGAGGCTTGGCCGAGACGGCAAGCCCTGGCGACCCAGGAACCGTCGCGGGAGCGACGACGTCAAGCGTGATCAGCTCGTGGAAGAGATCCTGCGCGAGAACAAACGTGAGTAGTTCCTTGTCCAGTCTTTTCCAGGTATGCAGCAGCAAAAGCTAACAATCCAGTCGATGTCTATGATGTGCCTGCTACGCAACAACCTCAGTATGAGGGCGATGGCGACGCAGACGATCGCATCGCCGAGGAATTCCGGCGCGAGTTCATGGATGCCATGGTGCAGCGACAGCAGAAAAAGAAGGCGGCCGCGCCGCCAGCTCGGGCAGGTGCTCGGAAGGCGGATGAGGATGTGCTCAAAGGCCCCAAGCTGGGCGGCAGTCGTAATTCCAGAGCTGCTATGCGTGACTTACTACTCAAGAAAGAGAAGGAGGGCAAGCGATGATGCACGGCTAAATTGTCCCGACATACTACACTATACGATACCCACACGACAATGAAACATGATTAGCTGGAATGATTGTATTTTGTGATTGGCATCTATAAACCAAATCAGAGTACTTGAAGTCAGATTTCCCATACCAACTGAGAAAACAACAAACCCTATAACAAAAAAGAAGAAAAAAAGAAAAGATCATGACGACGTGCAAGCCAACCCAAGAACCTGTAAGGCAGCCATTTTGATATCCCTGATAAGACCCAGAAGGAAAAGGAAGTTGTGATAGATCATGCCAGATCATAAACAGACGCCTTCGACCCACACACACCCACATGACTGTCGTAAGTAGCTAGGCCCTATAAGAATGTAAAGAATGTTTGAAGCCGGCTCGTCAAAAGCTCTCTGGTCTTTCTAAGCTCTCGCGACTTTGCAACGCCGGGGTATTAATGCCGTTCATCCTCATGCCTCAATGCCGTGTATGCATGCCACTTATTTCCCATGACGCCGTTGTGATATCAGATGCAGAACGTAGATTCCCAAGTGCAAATTCATGTGGTGGTGTAGACTTGGCCACCGACGGGGCCACGATATCACCGGATGTCAAGCTGGAACGGCTTGAACCGTCCGCCGATTGTTGCGCAGCGAGGGCACTTGCGCCGAGCTCCTTGCTCTGCCATCAGGACATCGACGCAAGCCTGACACAGGCCGCAAATGCATTCTGTGCAGGCATACGAGACCTTCAGCAGTGAGACGCTCTGACAGGCTGCGCAGTAGATCTGAGTGTTTTGCGAGGAATAACTCGGTGATGAGTCTGATAGGCCTCTCGACTCAATGTGGAAGTTCTCCCCGCTTTCACCGCTTTCAACCGACGGGAATGGGTCAATCGTGTCCTGGTTGTAGGATGGTGGGGTTAAGGCCTGTTGGAGCGGCGAAGCTTGGTAGCTTTGTGCTGCGTGTGCCGCCTGGAAATTATGGTGCTGGAAGGGGGGAAGTGAAGCTCTGTGGATAGAGACTGGTGATTGGGGTACCTGAGGGATGGTCAGCTAGCGTCGAACGAATAAACATCAGACATCTTACAGGAGTTCGATCCTCATCGATGTCACCAGCAGCAGAAGCAGCTTGGTCGGCAGCATCGATGAGATCTTCCCATCTTTTTCCATAGTCTGCAGAAGGTTCAGCCGATAACGCCTTACGGTCATTATTACCTGGTCTAAGCCGTTCGTCGTTTTGGATGCGTCGTAACCAGTCCGCTGCGGACCCGCGAGATTTTTGTTTCTTGTGGTGTGCTTCTCTACCTCTCTTGGTGACGGACTGTTTCCTGGGTCGAGTAGGTCCAGGAGGGCGCTGAATGGGCGGTAGGGTTGACGAGCGTCCAGGGGGCGAATTTGCAAGAATCGATGGCAAAATGTCCCTTGGCCTGCTCGAGTTCATGGCTGGAAATGGTTCGCTGGTGATGTCGCTATTAGATAGATGGATTGGTGGCAGTTCAATTGATGTCCTGGGTATCCGCCGCCCCTCGGTGTCGGAATGCCAATCCTGATGAGAGACGGTCGTTTAGCGCTCTGTTGGTGCTTGTAAGTGGCAGTGGGTAGATTTCTCGACTTACTACTTCGGACTCCCACTCAGGTTCGACCTTGTGACCGTGCAATTGCGCCAGTGCCGCCGCGGCACTAGCAGCAGGGAGCAGCGAGCCCACGGCATGATCGTCCAGCGTTCGGGGCGTGCCCGGGTTGCTGTTGTCGTACATGTGCCGGTCATGGTTGAAGCCTTGAAGATGGTCAATCTTTGGGGGGAAGCCCTGGATTGAGAGGGACGAACCCTGAGGCACTGAGGTCGCATTTGGCTGGATGGGAGGGCGTTCGGACGGCGGGGTGTTGATCATGAGCAGGAAGCTCTCCTCGGTCGCTGGAAGCTTCGAGATGTAGTGTTCGGGATGTGCTCTTCGAATGTGCTCTTGCATGGATCGGTATCGTTTTTCCTGTGGTGCGCCGACTGTGTCAGAAGAGCTCTCTCTTTTCTCTCGGTCGGGTGGGTTTTGGGGGGCGTAATCAAAGCTCTGCACTGTCGTCGCAGTTGGGGGTGGAATCCAGGGCGCAACGGTCGACGGCGCCGTTGGAGGAGGGATTCATTCCTATGTGGCCAGACTTACACCGATGCAGCGCTTTCTGCAGCTGGAGCCATCTTGGTTTCTCAGAGGACACACGACTTCATTGTTGGAGTCGGTGATTGAGAAGGAAGACGTGAGAGAAGATCTGGGCGGCATCTTGACCCCACCATGCGCGCGAGGGCTGGTATCGATTCTGAGCGGGGTGAGGTGCGATAAGTGCGTGCGTAGTGTGTCGCGAAGCGAGGCCAATTGACTGTTACTGGATCTGGTGAGGCTCTAGCATTTGGCGATGCAAAAGAAGCTGCGAAGTTCAGTCAACAAGTGTTGGAGCTTTGGAAGCTCTCCTCTCCGTCTCTGTCTGGTGTGTTACAAAGAGTGTTTCGAAGGATAAGGTGTAATGGAGGGGAGGGAAAGGACGGGGAGGTCGAGGATGGAAGAGAGGAAGAGAACCTGCTTTTGGGGGGTAGAAGGGAAGTTGACCGAAAGCAGTAAGTAGCGGTAATGGGGGGAGGGGAGGGGGGAGGATACCTAGAGAGAGGTACGCAGTACGGGACAGGCTAGGGGCGTGGCTCGGTCTGGTGGGTATGCGCACGCAGTATCCGTCAGGTACCTTACCTGAGGTGCTGTAGAGTAACCAGGCCCAGGGCCAATTACCTTACCTTTTACCTTGCTCTGCGCCCTTCTCCGTAGCCCAGCCCAGCAGTACGGATGGATACCCAGCACAGAGGTACGGATATGGGAGTCCAGTGTGGGAAGCAAGGTGTGAGAGCAAGGAGGGAGCTTGGATCCAGCAAGCCCTTGCCTTGCCGGTCGGTCGCTTGGTTGGTTGCCTTGGACCTTAAAACAGCAGGGCGACAAGCCGATCAACAGAAGAGGAGCAACAGCCGGCGCAGCTGTGGCATACGCGGTAGTTTGGTAGGCAAGGTATTCGAGGTTGGGAGCTCTTTGGCTGCTCAACCATTGGACCCCGTCCTCCAAGTGAGGAACCTGAATTGCTGTGCTGTGCTTTGCTGTACTCGTCTGCACCTGTTCCCAATCTTCTTTGCCTGTGCTGCTCCTGCAGCTGCGGGCTGCGGCTGCGGCTACGGCTGCTTGTTATTGCACTTGGCTTCGGGGAGATGGGGTGGGTAAGGAAAAAGGCCAATATCGGCTGGGACTAAGCAGACGGGGACGAGGGGTGCCGGGAACAGGTACAAGGAGGGAAGCAAGGACGCGCTTGGTTTTGGGAGCGATTTGAACAGCTGACAAGCTGATGAGGTAACTCAGTAGTTTCTGTCGTCGCAAGGTTCGGTGTGTGAGGTCAGTCAGGCAGACCACGAATAGGAGGGTGGTTTTGAGTCGGCCTGTGGAAGGCGGCGTCAATGTCACTGGCAAGTGGAAGAGCACAAGTGGATAGCACCAGAAGGGAGGCTTCCCTGAGGTTAGGTAGGCATGTAAGTGAAAGCAACGGTGACGCAGCGGTGTAAGTGGCGGGCCAAGCAGCGTGCTATTCCGAAGCTTGACCATCCATTGCATCGCCATCGCCAATAAAGAGCCTTCCTTCGCCTGCCGCTTTCTCGCACAACACCGCGATGCGATACAATGCTCGGCCAGTCGCCGAGTGGTTGGCCAGACTGTTTCCTCCAGGAGACCAGGCGAAAGGCGAGACTGATTGACCGAGAGACGGGTTGCAACTTGTTTCCATCGAGTCAGTCGTGCCGCCTCCCTTCTTTGTTTGGAAAATTATGACACGACGAGGTGCCTGACTTGGCCAAGAATGGCGGCAACCGAGTGACGGGGCCATGGGAACAGTTGGTTATCCTGCTAGCATGGAAAAGCAAAGCATTGCAGCCATCAATCGTCGCAGTGGTGCTTCGATGCTTCGGCGCCCGTACCTCCACCAGCTACCTACCTACCTTAGAATGAGAGCTTCCCTGCCCGGTTGCTTGGTGCTTACCTTCCATGTAATCGCCTAGGTACCTAAGGCACCTTACCTTACACAGAGTAGGTGCCTCGCGGGGGTACGAACACACAAGGGCCGCATCGTAAAGTCCCCCAATAGCTCTGCCAATGGCAATTAAGCAATCCGCAAGCTCTGGAGGTTGGTACTCTTGCGGTGCTATTCGTACGGTCGGTACCTCTTGGAGGAGAGTGCGGTAGCTGGAGGAGGAGCTGCCAGCAGGAGGAGAAGAAAAAAGCTGGTCGGCAAATTGACCCGCCGACGAGACAAAATGCTGGTCATTGGTCCAAGACGATTGGCAACGTGAATGACTCGATCGAGGCCGGAGCACGTCTGGTGGGTTGGGTTGGTTGATTCAAGGGTTAAAGGAAGCAGAAGACAGTGGGAGAGGATGATGAAGAGCCCAGGTACCTCATGAGAAAGGGGGGCGTGGCTGCAAAAGCAAGATTCAAGTCAAGACGAGTGGAGACAGGCAGTTGAAGTGAGGAGGATCGGAAGGAGCACGACAGGGAAGCACGAGGGCGGAGGAGGGGGAAGGAGGGGAGGGGTGTGGTAGTAAAGTGGGCTCTTTTTTTTTTTTTCTCTCTCTTTCTCTGTTGCTCTTCTTTTCGGAGCTTGCGAGTGGTTGAGAGAGAGAGACCGCACCAAAGAGTGAGCTGGTGCATGGGAGCTCTTGACTTGGGTCTTCGACGGATACCTACCTATGTCCTGCAGCCTTCTCGACCTGTCCGTGTTCAATCTGCAACACATTCAATCCATCTGAATGAGTCGGTATGTGCAAGTATCTTTCTAGAAGCTTGATTCAAGACTCAAAGCCTTTGCTTCTCATGCCATGCTGCTGCTGTTGACTTGCTGTGTTGCTTCCAAGCTCTGTGCAAGTGTAAACATACGTACGGCGTAGCATACCCAGCTCGCCTTCTGCGGAACTGGAACCGCGTCAATGTGACAAGGCCTTTTAGCGATGGCCCTGGCCTCAGCCAGATGGGTCTGCTACTGGATCCCCGCTATTCGTCACGTTGACATCCCAGCTGACGGGTAAGGTATGTACATGCTTAGCAGATTCGCAGTAGAAGCAGGTCAGGTCCTACCCTCCCCCTACTCTAGGGTATGAGTAGCTTATTATTTGTTGAAATTTCTCTTGTATTAGTCTTAGTATATTACTTTATCCCTTAACTCTTTATCTTACTTTTTTTATACTATCTAAGTAATTAATAAAGTTCTTAATAAAGTAGCTCTATAAATAATATACTTATTATTTTAGAGAACTATAATAAGATCTTACTCTATTTAATTTATTATTTTTTATTAATAGTTCTTATAAGTATAATATAAAACTTTTATTTATAAACTTATTAACTATAGTTTAACTTACTTCTAGAAGTAGATACTAAAAATAAAAATAATAATAATATTTTTTGTATCAAACTTAGTAATATTTATAAAGAACTTTTATACTCTTCTTAACTATAACTTTTATATACTTTTAATAGTTATTAAAAAGTTAGTATATATAATACTTTCTATTAATATATAACATTCTTTTATAATAAGAATAATAATATAAGAATATAATATAAGAATAACAATATAAGAATAATAATATAAGAATAATAATATAAGAATAATAATATAATAATAATAATAACACTTAACTTACTTTAATATTCTATATAAAATAAACTAATAAAGTTTAAAGTATAAAACCTTATATAAAAATACTCTATTTATTATAACTTATAACTATAATATTAATTATATAATACGTTTAACGTGATCGACTCGCTTGTCTGATCGACTCGCTTATCAACCACGTTAGTTATATAAGTACTTTATATAATTAGTAGTTTAATAAACTATATTTTAAGTTAGTTTTCCCCTCACTTTTCCCTACTAGAGGATATAACTTACTAACTATATTAATAAGAATTATTATAATATATTACTTCTCTTATTATTATCTGTATAATTAAATACTTATAAATACTTAAGATTATGACTTTTTATTATAATATAAGCCCCTCTATAACCTTATACTATATAGGCGTATATACTACGCTTCTAAATACGCTTATACCTATACTAATACTTTCTAAGTTAAAGTTATTATTAAAGTTATTAAGTTATTAGTTTACTATTATCTTATTTAATAGATATAAAATATTAGTTATTTCTTTTATTACTGCCTTCTTTATATAAAGTCAAGTTTCTATAACTTTAGTAACTAAAGTTACTATAAAGAAAAGTTATTATACTTTATTTACTTTATTTTTCATCTTTTTTAAAACTTCTATACTTTTTAATACTAAGTATAATACTTCTATATTTATACCTTAGGTTATATCTATTAAGGTTACTTAGTCCTTTTCTATATCTATACCTTGCTATATATTATACCTCAGTAGGTTAGGTTGTGTCGCGGTGCCGCTGTAGATACGGGTGGTTGCTTAAGAGGTTTGCTTGTCAAGCTTAGGTTACCTGGGCAAGCTATTCTTGGCTGGCAGACGTAAGTCGCACCTCCTAATGACAGCATTGACGCAGTCCAAATGAAGCGGTCCAGACCAAATCTCCGGTGTAAAAGCGATGAACATGCTCCGGCAAGGAACAGCATGGCTGCGAAAGGCGTTGGGCATTGAGGACGAGACGAAGGACGAGGAGGAGGTTGGCAACGTCGGGTCGGCATCGGGCACAGAGAGTCACCAAGACCACGACAAGGGCCCAGGGAAGCTTCTTCAACAAGGTGTGAACCTGGGAGCTGTTGCCTCTACTGCTGCTGCTGCACTGCGCTGCTGCACGTCGGTCTGCGGTGTATGGTATGTCTCTAGCTGCACCTCAGCGCCTGCAGCGCCTCTGAGGCATGCTGCTGCAGTGGGGAATGGGTCCCCCCGACGTTGGCGCCGAATCGTCTGTTCCACAGCGGGGAGGAAGACGGTGCGACGTGGGCGGGGGCTTGATGGGGCGGGGAGAGGGTGTGAGAGTGCTTTACCTGGATTGAGTGGGCTACCACAGACAGCTGCTTCAAGGGTTTTTTTTTTGGGTCGTCTTTTTTTTTTTTTTTTTTTTTTTTTTTTTTTTTTTTTTTTTTTTTTTTTTTACCAGTGTTTCTCTTACTCGCAGGCATGCAGGGCTCCATGTCCAAGGCTCTTCAGCACGTCAACCTGCCTTCTTCTGGCCCCGGTCTGTCCAGCTAAGATGCCCACATTCAGTTTTTTTTTTCCCTGTCCCCGTGGAAGACCTAGACCGGAGAGAGGAGGTAGGTACCTGCCTATCAAGTACAGCTGCATCACCTTCCTCCTCCTTCCTTGCTCTGTCGCAACCTCAGGTAAGGTAAGGTAAAAAGTGCTTTCCTCGTGCTCCACGATCCACCCTCCACGCCCCGAGGTGCACCGGCCCAGGATAGCATGGTGAAGGTAAGGGAGGTACGTCTCTTTTCTGTCAGGGAAGGTCCCCACTTTCGGCGCGAGGACCCTCCAGTTCCTCGCCTCCAACCTTCACCTCGGCCTATCAGCAGTCGGCAGATTGTATTCCTACGCGGCCGAAGGAGACAAGATGGAAGGAAAAAAAAAAAAAAAAACTTGTCTGCACCCTTCAAAGGCGCCGGACTCCAGAGCATGGGTGGGTACCGGATCGAAGGAGGAAAAAAAAAATAGGTACACCTTCGCCCGCTCCACTTTCTTCGTTCTCCTTCAAGCCAACCTCTTTTGAAATTAACCCAGAGGCTAACTTGTTCAACGACAATCCGAAACCACGGCTATTCACCGAGGCGACTGTTGAAAGAAAGAAAAACACAAAAAGTGTGCTCCCGTAAGCTCAGTCCACTGTCCGAGCCACGCAGCCTTGTTCAGATGTCGGTACCTTGTCTCTATCATTGACTTCGAGTCAACAAGCCTTGTCTCAGCGTCTCAGCTCACTCCTGAGCCGCTCGCATGTCGGTCACCTCGAGCAACAAAAACACAGAAGAAGCTGCTCCGAGGACCTTTTCCAGCCAATTGCATGTTGCGATTTTCGCCTTCCTCGCCACCAATGCCCCTGGACCCCTGGCTGACTGGCAAAGGGCAGACAACACTCGCAGATAAAGCCGGTATCTATCGCCTCTCGGAGCACCAGGTACAAGAAGAACTGACATCACCTTGTCTGGGTATGCACTACATGCTACCTCTGTGTTTTTCCTTATTGTTTTTATTCACGTCTTATTTGTCTACAGGAAGACCGGAGACGGTGTGGTGTGTTTTTGAGCGCTGTCGGACCCGACTTGACGACTCGTCCAGGAGACTTGGATCATGGATTAATGCATAAACACCGGTATAATGCAGGCGCCCTCGTCCACTCTCAGCTTCGGGCCAAATCGGGGGATCCATCTCGTGACGGCCCACGGAACGCTACACCAACGCCTCCCCCACAGGAGCTGGCAGCTGGCAACGAAGCTTAGTACCTGGATCGAGCGCCTCGCCGTCGGTCTCTCACATACCGAAGGGGTCCAGGGAACCCCAAGGTCTCTTTGCAGGAAAAGTGTCGACACAGTGACCGCACCTCGATCGGGGCGAGGCAAGACGAGGCGGTGACGGCTACCAATTTCCTGGCGTCTGTCAGCTTCCTTTTCACCGTCCGCCCTGAGCTTCCGGCGCTATCCTCATGAGCGCATCGCGATACGGCTATGTGTTCCAGCTGCCCGCTGACCGGAGGGTGTGGGGGATAAGCTCCCAGGACATGAGCTCTAGTGCTGATAAGCAAGCCACCAACCAGAAGCCAGGGCAGCTTCGACGATAAAGCTCCCCCAAGGGTTCTAGCGCATCTTTACCACGAGCAACCGAGCCTACCTTAGCTCCAATGGGGAGGTACCTTCACAAAGCTTTTCGGTACTTCGAGAACTCCCACGCCTGGTGCCTTTCCTCCATCTCAACTGGACGCTGATCCGCAAGTGAGGGCGAATGAGGAAACTGCTCCGGTCAGAAGGGGGAACGGCACTTCGTTTGGAAATGGAGACAGTCAGAAACACCTTGCAGCAGCAATCTAATGAAAGGAAAATCGAGGCTTCATAACACGGCTTGGCCCCCTCCATTGAACGAGTCTTCAACGCACTAATACTCGCACTTCGATTCATTCACCCGCGCTACGCTTCTAACCCGGAAAAAAACTGAGCCTGTGCCAATTCTTTCTTGACATCGGCACACTCGGCGGCGGCCCACTCAGCAACCGGCCGCAGGTCTGTGCCTCTCTGCAGTGCCGTTCCTACACCTGCTTTATTACCAACAGCACACGAGAAAAAACACACTGAGCAACGCAGTATAAGCTGAGGCCGGGGGACGCTCCGTACCCAAAGCTCTGTCACATGCACGCGTCGTTTTCTGAATACACCCAGTACTTTCGTACGACTGGGCCTATCGAAGCGGCAAACGCCCGAAGGCCGCTCGAACTCGCTCCTGGCTCCCTGCCTTCCGAGACATGGCGGCCAACCAGTTCTGTCTCGTCGGTGACTCCGACTGCCACTGCCACTGTTGCCAGAGCCTCTCCATCTCCATTCCCGTCCCTTCACCGTCCACTCGGCGAAGCTCCAGGGATATCAGCGCTGAGATCCCAAGTCGGAGCGTCCACCTTCAAGCCATTAGCGATCACGGCCCTCTATCTCCGCGCAACTCACAGCGCCGGTGCGCTGACGGCTTGCACGTACGCGTAGCCTCCTGAGCCCCTTTTCCCCCTATCTCTGAGCAAGTTGAGGCACGACAGGATATCCTCGACTTGACTGGAATGAATCCCAGTGGCTCTACCTTAGTCTATTCTCACTGAAGCACCAGTGCTCCGTCATGTTGACGACAGTCGATCACTCGCTGTCAGCAAACATTCTATATCTCTTGACCTAGTGAATTAAGATTCAATTGCACGAAAGCGGATCAAGCTCTGCTTTCGGAGATTTCCTCAGCCTCAGCATCACCAACCTTCTTTGCCGCAGACACGCAGCAAAAACCACTTGTTTTAACTGATTTGGCTTCTCGAAGGAGTGGGCAGTCTTTTCCATCCGCTGTCAGAGACAGTCTTTGCCTTCAGTTCAGATGGTTCGCTGGATATATGCTACAATGGGTCATCCCTCCCAGCGTCAGGGGGCAACTCCGGAACCGTCTTGAGCCGCTGCAGCCGGCTGTCAATCTTGCATGAGGTGCACAACGACAGCATCACTCCGAAGAGCTGTGTCGTCAGCCTTCAGTTTGACTTCATGGGCCTTACTGGAGAACAGCTGCCATCCTGATTTCTGGCAAGTCGAGTCGATGGGAGGGCGACCTCGGATCTTATGTGGCCAGCGGTATCCGAAGCTCCTTCTCCAATCAAGGCGACGCATCCGCAGGATCCCAAACAAACTTGTCACAGCTCCTCGTTGATCAACCCCCTCGAGGTACGCCGCACAGACGTCCGAGATGGACCTGCGCCGCCAAGATCACGAAGGAAAGGTCGTCTTCTTCTATGGCATTCAGAGCACGGCAATCCCGCTCAGCATAAGATGCAGAAGGTAAAAGCAACCAGTGCGGGCCCCGCCTGACTGGTCCGGAGTCATCAGATTGTCTTTTCAGAATCTGCAAGGGACGCACTCCATGTTTCCAGACCCAAAAGGACTGGACGTATTGCGCAGTTGAGGCTCAGCCACCAAGGTTTCAGCCTCCGACCAATACCGAACTTGGCACCCTCCTTGTGCATATTTTGCCGGTCGATTTCACTGATCCGTCGTCATATTCTCCAACCGGCGGACTCTCGGAAGTCAGAGCACCTCGCGTTTACTTGCCGCGGCGCTGATGATCTGGCGAAGTCCAACCACAATGCTCTGACCTCGTCGTCAGTTCGCCAACTTCCACCGTAAATTGGCGTTACAGGGTTGCCGTTTCTAATGTGGCCAAGGAAAAGTTTCCTAAACTCGCCTCGCGTTTCCCTGCAATGTTTCCCCACGTCCGATCATTCACGGCAAGACATCCCAAGAGTTGCGTCCCGACGCGCTCCTTGCCCAAATTACATCCCGTCATCATGGCACATATCTAAGTGCCTTGTCGGCATTCCTCTGCTCTTTTGGCTCTTTTCATGAGCAAACGGTTGCTCTGCAGCCTTCTACGGACCCCTTACGCATATCTCCTGCCGTCGTTTCTTACACTCATTAATCTATATACAACATGGCGTTGACAGTCAAGCAGCTGAATGCTGACGCCTCATTTCTTCTCACCTTCGAACCTATCGTGCCCGAGTCGACACCGGGCATTTCTCCCCGGCCGTTCAGGATATTAATGGATCCATGGATCACAGGACCGTCCACCATCTTTCACTCTATTCTTTCAACAACAACTCACAAGCAGTCTCCATGCGTGTGCTCGCTGGAACATCTCCCGGAACCCGATCTCGTCATTATCAGCCAGCACAAAAGCGACCATTGCAACGAGGCCACGCTTCGGCAACTACCACCCAGCGGGACGAGAACCCTAATCCTGGCGGAACCGGCCGCGGCCAAGGTGATTCGGAGCTGGAAGTACTTTGACAAGAACAAGGTCCATACGATTCCGCGGTGGGAGGATCCTCAAATCACGGGGAAGCAGGCCGTCATCCGCGTCAAGGTGCCGCCATTCACACCAGGTGGGGAGTCCGGCGAGGTATCAGTCGCGTTCATTCCTCAACGGAGGGATTTCAAGGGCCTTCATGCCGCCATCGGCATCACGTACCGACCACCACCAACATGGCCAAGGTTCACGCATCTTCTTACACCCCCGAGGACCCCCGTATCTCAGCCACAAGGCACACAACTCTCTCAGTCTCCCATTGCCGGGGCAGCCCGCTCCAAAGCTGAGCCGGCATACATCAGCCTGCCGACTCCCCCGGAGACTCCCAGCAGCACCCAATCCCTCCACTCCATCAACTCCGCTACGTCGACCCCGCCGCCAACGGACGCCCGAGACCGAGCAGTATCAGTTATCTTCTCTCCCCACGG